GCGGCGGCGTTCCTGGTCTGGCGGCGGCGTTCCCCCGGTCTGGCGGGCGGCGGTCCACGACCCCTTCTAAACCCAGCCTGGACTTCTGGCAATTCTCTGCTTGTGTACTCTATTAAATTACTGATGTAGTCCTACTTTTCAGAAACCTCCTGTTTAAAAACATTTTCAGATGACTTTTCCCCCCTTCTTTCTATCACATATGTGGCTGCTTTTTAGAAACTAGTTGTGATGGGACAATCGGAGGATAAGTAAACAAACATGATAAGAAAGTAGTTCCTGTTCTTTTATTTTAAAAACAAATAACTGCACAGGTGTGTCTCACTCTGTGTGGCCCTCTTTGAATTCTTGCTCCCGGAAGCGTTGGCCTGCGTAATTTTTCTGTCATTCTCATATCACTGACGTGGATCTGAGCATGTTTTCCTGGTGATGATGCCCAGATAATCCATAGCTGGATGTAAACATCAGGAAGTAACTTACTGTACATGAGCAGTATCAGATTGCAGATCCTACTCTCTCAGCTGTATTTTTGATACTTACAATAGTAGGGGTTGGATGTTGAAACTTTCCCTTTATTTTACTTTAACAGCTTAAAGAATATAACAGAATACTGTCTTCATATGACCTCACATTACATGTTTGGGATTGTACACCTGGTTTACAACTTCTATGAGACAACTTTCCTTGGCCACCAAGTGTTTAAAACTGTGTTTAAAAGTGTTTGCCACCTGTTGTGGATTTTTATTTTTTAAGTTGAAGGTTATATGTTTTCTGTATTCAGTGATAATCGTGTCATCTGAAGTGAGTATTATCTCAGATATCACCATTATTGAATGCTGAAATCACCATGGAAACACCATATGCATTCTGTCATTTGTCAGCTTTCAGTTCTTTTTATTTTTTTCCCTTAGTATTAAATAAAAATAAAATTGGGGATATATCCCACCCCCAAAAAAAACACCCACATTCATTTTATAGTGTGTCAAGGTGCAGCTAGAGTGCTGCTTGGAGGCAAGGATGATAAAGCTTCATTTTTTGGATGAAGCTAGACATGTAGCTAAATGAGGCTATTCCTTGGAAAGGGACATCATGGAAAGATGGAGGGGTCACTGAAGGAAAGGACGATCCCCAACGAGATGGCTTGACACTGACTTTAGCAGTGAGTTCTGGTGTGTCAGATATGATAAGGATGACACAGGGTAGGGCAGAATTCAGGTTGGCTGTTCATAGAGTCCCATGAGTCATACTCGAATCTATGGCACCTAACAACAACAGCTTAATGTGGTTGGTTATTCCTTCTGTTTCCTTTCTGGAATATTCTTGATAAAGTTTTATTAGTACCTCCAGGTTTTAATTAGGATTAAAAAACAGTACCACAGGAGTCTCTTTATGATCTCCTGACCTTAAAGCCCCTTGATAGTGATGATTTAGGTAACAAGAAATAAGAATGACCTCCTTCTTTCTTATTGTTATTATAGGTCGAAGACCCCAGCCTACCTAATGATGAAGGTATCACAGCTCTTCACAATGCTGTGTGTGCAGGCCACACAGAAATCGTTAAGTTCTTGGTACAGTTTGGCGTGAATGTAAATGCTGCCGATAGTGATGGATGGTAAGATTTTCTGTTAATGCCATCCAGCTTCATTTGTGAATGTCAAAGTATAAGCAGTGTTGTAGGTGCTATTGGAAAGCACTTCTGTTTGATTCAAACCCAATCACCCCAACTTTAGTTTTGCTTTGGTTTTGGTTATTAAGTTGTCTTACCTAGCAACAGCCTTTTACAAGAAACAGAACAAGCGTATTGTGAGTGAGGAAATACTGTTTGGCTTTACGTTGCTGCCATATCAGGTAGCTTTTACCTAAACATTGTCATGTTTTCCTCAGCCTCACTTTGCGAATTGGAGCTAAGGTAATGAAGTAGGTGACTATATAAGTGGGGCAGGTCTCTCATAGTAAAAAATATTGTAAAGCACAGTTTCTCTAAAACGAGACAGGGAACCTTTTGACACTGGGAGCCATCAGACAGGTGTGTGTGGTGACTGAGGGTGAGTGTGTTTGTTAGTGATTAGTAAATGCAGATCCTCTGCAGGCTCAGCGCCCTGGGTCTTCCCCCATACCACCCTAGTCTCAGCGATGTGACTCTGGGAGTAATCTTTGATTACCAGTGGACCTTCCTGTGTCTTCATTTACCTTGCAGGCTGACTCAGCATCCCCATCTACAGTGAGGTGTAAAGGTGACTGGGAGGGAGGTGCAGACAGTCCCTCTGTCCTGGGAGTGAGTGAAGAGCTTCAGTTTGGGCTTGCTAGCAGTTAATTCACATGGAAGGAGAGCTCTTTCCAGGCTCCTGCAGACTGTAGCTTTGGGCCAGCCCCTGAAGTCTCCCTAGTTGATTATAGCTTTGGGCCTGCACCTGAGGTCTCCTTAGTGTGAATTGGGGCTGCCTTCCCAAGGGGTTTTGTCCTGGGAGCTCTCAGCCAGGTGAGCACCATTCTGATGGTTTCCCAGAGGTGTGAGTCCCCATGGGGTGCAGAGTCAAGATGGGAGAGATGGTGATAGAGAAGGGACCTCCTTTGCCTGGGTGCTGCCAACTTCCTGAGTCAGGTGGGTACTGGTCTCAGGTGGGACCCAGAGCTAGTTAAGGGAGTGAGGGTGTCCACCCTTCTTCACCTTCTCTTCTGGGATTACAATCGCCACTGATGGCCAAACTGAGTTCCTCGAGCAGCTTCCAGACCAGCTTCTCACTGCCACCGAGACTAAAGGCGGTCATTCACAATTCCATTCTTGCTCCCGAGGGCATCAGCCTTCATCCTCACCTATGATAACCAAGCTCCAGTGGTGAGGGGGCATCTTCCTGCATCACAACAGGTAGCGCTTCTGAGCAAGAGGTTTGGGCATGGATAACGCAGACCTGTAGCACCCTCGGGCACTGGATGTGTTTCAGCTGGACCCAACCTGGGGTTGTGGGAGATCTGGAAGCAAGCACTTTAGGCAACTGAACAGCATGTCTATAGAATAATTTTTTATTTTGTACAAAAGTGCACGTTGTTATTATTGTAGGTTCATGAATCTCACCTGATGGAACACACAAGGATTAAATTTATCATATCTGTCAAAAGAGACAGTGGAAGGAAGCTCTGGTGGCCTAGTGGCAAGCTGCACTGCAATCCCAGAGGTACGCAGTTCGAATCCACCAGATTCTCTGCTGAAGGAGGGACAGTCTCCTCCTGTACCAGTCTGATCTGATTTGACGGTACACGCACAAAAAAATAATAAAATAAAAAAGAGAGAGACTATGGAACAGTGCCGTATCATCGGCCAAAGCATGACCAGGGACCAGCTATCAAACATTAGTTATTCATATGCAAGTTGAAGTTGAAGAAAATTCAGACAGGTCAGCTAGAGCCAGAATATAACCTTAAGTTTATCTCACCTGAATTTTAAAACAAACTCAAGAATGAACTTGATGCATTGAACACTACTAGCTGAAGACTAGATGTGTTGTAGGAGACATCTAATGTGAAGAAAGACAAGAAAAAGGGGGAAACCAAAATGAATGTCAGACACGCTTTTTAGTGTGGAGAAGCTTAAGAGGTAATTTAGTAAAATAATTCAACAGAAGATTTCAAAGGATTGCTGAGATGATAAAGTAAACTATAACAGAATGTGTAAAGACTTGCAGTTGGAAAACCACAGGGAAGAAAATGCATGTGATCAAAAACCAGTGGTACTAAAGGGAGAAGCCCAGAATGCATTGACGCTATTGGCAAAAAAATAAGACCTCAAGAATTGATGGACCAGTGTTTTACCGGTTCATTGTTTTTCAGTGCTGTGTAGTAGTATTTCATTATGTGACTGACTACACCACAATTTTTCTGTCCATTTGTTTGTTGATGGGCACTGAGGCTGCTTCCATCTCTATTTTGGTGAATAACTCAGCAGCATGGGTGACCTTGGAAGAAAAATAGTGCAGAACACCACTGTTATAAAATAGAACTGACATGAAGTTTTAAGGGAGAATAGGAAAAGAGTGGATAGGTAGTGAACACTGCATTGAAACAGATGAGGAAAAGGACTGTCTGAGAAAAATGTATGATTAGACATAAGTATGACAACAATCTGAAACAAAAGGTGCATTGTAAAGTGTACTAGGGAAGGGGAAAGTATGGGGGAGAGTGGAAGATGCACAGCAATGAATGGTGAAAACACAACCTCACTGTAAACCTTCGTTAAAATCACAGTAAAAGATGAACAATTGAAGTGTTTTAGCAAGTGGACTTCCTCACTCGTCTAAGCCAAGGAATGTGGAAGATGGCTAACTGGCTAGCCAGTTTGAAGAGGGACCAGAGTTGTTCCCATTCCAAAAAAGGTAATTCAACAGAATGTGGAAATTATTTAACAGAATTACTAATAACAGTATCACTAATACCACCTGCAAGTAAAATTTTATTCACGATTATTTAAAAACAATTGGCACAGTATGTTAACAGGGCACAAGGAAACTGCCAGAAGTTCAAACTGGATTCAAAGAAATCATAGAACCTTGTTCAGCAGCCTTGTCAGATAGCTCATTACTAAAAGCAGAATACCAGAAGTAGATTTTTTTGTGTTTTATTGACTATGCAAAGGCATTTATTTGACTATGTGGGGTCATACGAAGTTATGAAGAATAATGACAGGAATGGGAATTCTAGGACAATTAAGCATATGTGAAACACCTGTGTAAATAAAGTTGTTGGTACAGATAAAGAGCTGTAATGCATAGTTTAAAAGAAGGAAAGATAGTCCTCAGAATTGTGTCTTTTCTCCATATTTATTCAGTCACTATGCTGAAAAAGGAATTTGAAATAATGTGAACTATATGAAGAGGAATGTAGCATCAGGACTGGAGGAAAACTTATATGTTATGCAGGTGTGAAGATCAAGGGCTACAACCTTAAGTACAAATTATACCTCAACATGAAACAAGCCAAAAATTCTCCTAACTGGACCAGTAGACAGCATTATGATAGATGAAGAAAAAAATTGAACTTATTAATGATATAATTGTAGTTGGATTCACAGTCAACACCTATGGACTCAGCACTCAAGAAATCAGAAGACATGTTACAGTGGGCATATCTGCTCTTAAAAGTGCTAAAGAGCAAAGATAGCACTTTAAAAACAAAGGTTCATCTGACCCAAACCATGATATTCTCCATTGTTTCAAGTTCATGTGAAAGATGCACAGTGAGTAAGGAAAACTGAATTGGTGCCTTTAAATTTTGATATTAAAGAGTAAAGAATGTCCCATGGCCTGCCAAAAGGACAAACAAACCTGTCTGGGAGGAAGTGCAGCCAGGGTGCTCCTCAGAGGACAGGATGGTAAGAGTCATCTCACTTACTTTGGGCGTGTTGTCAGGAGGGGCCGGTCCTTGGAAAAGGGTTTCATGGAGAGGAGGAGGGTGGTCTACAAGGTGAGCTGACATAATGACGTTGGTAGTGGATGGGAGGTGGAGATTGTGAGGATGGCGCAGAATGGGGCTAGGGTTCCATGTAGTCAGGTGTAAGAGATTCACAGACATCTATCAGTTGTTGGTTTTGGGTTTTTTTATTTACCATAAGCAAAGAAACTCTAAATGTGTTTTATGTCTTTGTTGCTCTGATGTTGGGCGTTTAGATTGTTTCTAATTTCTGACTATTAAAAAGCATGCCATTAAGAAAATCAAAGGTAGGGAGCTCTGTTGGCCTAGTGGCAGGAAGCTACACTGCAATCCAAGAGGTGCATGGTTAGAATCCACCAGATACTCTGCTGCAGAAGGCGGGGTAATCTCCTCCTGTACCAGTCAGAGCAGATTTGATGGTACACACACACGCACACTCACTCAAAGGTGACAGGCACCATATGGCTTATGGTAGTCTTCTCAAATAGGATATGGGTCAGACTTTTCCGTGATATATTTCCATGGTACTTTAGTTTTTGAATGAGTGTGGATTTACTACTTGCAGGAATGATAGAGGGGGGGAAATCTACTAGTAACTACTTAAATTTATTTTTTCTTTGATCTGTTTTTCAGTGTTTAGGTTTTTTCTTGTGAACATTTTAGCAAACTCGAGTGTATAGAATCTCTTTATGATGTTTTACGTTTTGCTGCTGCTATTAGTTGCTATTTAACCAATATTTTATTTTGATTGTTCCCTTAAATTGCAATTTGAATGAAAGTTTACAAAGCATATTGTTTGGTTTTTTAAAAATTAATCATTCCTGTACATACTGTTCCACAACGTGACACCAACTGTGAGGGTATAACTTGTTAGTAGGGCTTTTAGGGTCTAATTTTGGAAGATGGTAGCAATCTAATTAATAAACTCTTCACATTGTAATTAGGATATGTTTGTATATTGCACCACTGGAGAGCTGGTTGAGGTGGGATCTAACAGTTAATTGGGTGGAAGGTGTGATCTCTGTACCATTTAACTCTACTGCAATGAAATAGAGTTGACCTAGAGATCATCCTTGGTTCTAGTGTTCTTTACAGTTTGCCAATTTTTCTTTTTAAAACAGAATTAATCACCCATGAGGATTAGTGCAAGAGAAGAAGTGCAAAAGAGGAGATTCCGTTTTATGTACTTCAGGGCCTGTGAACATTCTCAGGCTCACTTTTGGGGTTTGGACAGTGAGACTGGCTCTTGATAAGCATTCAATCCGGAGTCATTTATAAAATTGCTTATTTGTAACCATTTCGGATGCTTGGGAAGATTCCCTTTATGATATTTATAAGTTTCCAATAACCAGTTGTCTAAAATGCATAGACATGGGAATATTTGAAAGTCAGCTTTCTAGTCTGAAAAAAATTGTCTTTTTTCCAATAAACAATATTTTAATTTGGTATTTTAGAAAATAGGTGATAAAGACAATTCATACGTGCAGTTTAGTTCCTTCAACTTGAGGCTAATAAAAGGATGAGGAGGCACAGAGCTTGAGTTTGTTGTTACTGTTAAATGTCCTCAGGTCAGAACTGACTCATAGGCGGCTCTTGGGCAGCTTTACAGTAGTTTCTATTGGAGGCCTGTCTTAAAGGACTATTAGGTAGTTAGACCGAGTACTTGAGAATGTAGGCCTAAGTATAATTTCTTAATTTTGTTCTTAGATTATTCTAGAACTTTCATTTGTTTAGTTTCACTCATGCTCTCAATCTCTGTCACCTTCCATTCTGCTCCCAACCCTGGTGAACCCTAGAATTCTTCAGTGGTCTCCTTCGTGGCTGACCCCCTGTGAGGGGCGCACTTAGTCACGTTACCTAGATGCAAATGAAAACAGAACACAGGTGTAGTCTAGGAAGTTTTCAGAAGAAAAGTCAAAGTACCAGAGAGATTCAAGCATTTTCTTTCTTTTCATTGTATGTAATGAAATGTATTTACTTGTATATTTCATTGAAGAATTGTCAGGGTCTGCAAGAGTCAATTTTCTCATTACTTTAAAAAAACCTTTCTAAATGTGCAGTTCAGAGAAATTGATTCTTTTCTTGGACTCATGCAAATCTCAGCCTTCTTTTCTGAGTTGTTCCTTCTTGTTAATGTCAAAGATGCCTGTCTAGTCTTCCCATTTGTCAGCCTGATCCCATGTAGATGGATCTTGAAACCAAGCATCCTTTCTTTGAATTTTAAGACATAAGAGATCTTTTTGGTTCATGGGTCAAGAATTTTCTCTGGAACAAGTGCCATTAATTTCAGACAGTCATTTCGGTCCCATATCGTGTTTCCCTACTCAGGACTCCCTTGCACTGTGCTGCCTCGTGTAACAATGTTCAAGTGTGCAAGTTCCTGGTGGAGTCTGGAGCAGCCGTCTTTGCTATGACCTACAGTGACATGCAGACTGCGGCGGACAAGTGTGAGGAGATGGAAGAAGGCTATGCCCAGTGCTCCCAGTTCCTTTACGGTGTGTGTCTCATCACTGCAGTATCAAACCTTGTGTGTTACTACATTATAAGGTCATAAGTAATATTGTGCCTTAGAAACAGTCTTATCTGTTGTATATTGAAAGTAGAGCAGCTTGAGCCAGAAATGCTAAAGCAGCCTTTGTGTTGATGCCTAGAAGCAGCTATTGTCAGGCATGGCCAGCTGTAAAGACCATTGGTACAGCATCTGGCAGAGTGGAGTGAATGGCTTTGGCCATCAGAAGATTCACTGAGGCTTTTGCAAATAAATGCATTGCCCCTTCCCTCATCCCAGATGATTCTAGTAAAATACATTATCAGTAAATGAGCCCAAATCATGCAACTTTTCCTGCTAAGTAAACTAGTTTTAGAGTTAAATAGAGGCAAGAAATACTGTGTTGATCTTTTTCTTTCTTGATTTTGCATTCATGCTTATGACTTACAGCCTCAAATTTGTACCTAGAGGGAAATGGACTTGAAGCTTTAGTTATTATAACTTGACTGAGCTCTGGTAGCCTAGAGATAAGAAGCTGCATTGTAATCCCAAAGGCATGTGGTTCAAATCCACCAGCTGCTCAGTGGGAGAAGAATGGGCATTCCTTCCATTTTTCAGCCTCTGAAAACCAGCTGGAGGGTCAGCTATGGGTCTGACTATGGTATATAACAACAGCAACAGTTTAAATATGGAATAGAATTTTTAAGCTTCTGAACTTATTGCATAGGCTTGCAAAAATTTTTATACTCTGAGGAAGACCAGCTCTGAGGCATGTTTATAGTGTATAGTTCTTGTTAGTTTTGAGAGCGAAAGTGGCATGTCTTTTTTCATTCCACGCCGCGGCCCTCTTCTTCTCTCCCAGCCTCTGGAGATGAGTGCTTCATGGCAACTGTACTTTGTCAGTGTGTACCCTTTCCTCTCGTCTGGTTTTGCATGTTGGTGTACTGAGTTACATACTCTGTGCCCTGTATCTGTCTTCATTTTAGGTGTCCAGGAGAAGATGGGCATCATGAATAAAGGAGTCATTTATGCACTTTGGGATTATGACCCTCAGAATGACGATGAGCTGCTCATGCGAGAAGGGGACTGCATGACGATCATCCGAAGAGAAGATGAGGATGAAATTGAATGGTGGTGGGCGCGCCTGAATGAAAAGGAAGGATACGTTCCACGTAACCTATTGGGAGTAAGTTCCTCCAGCACGTACATGTATTTAAGTCTGCCAGAGGGGGATCTGTCCAAACAACTATAATGTTAACAGATTTGATGCAAGCTCCTGGCCCTTGTTAAAGACTTAGCATGTAACAGTCTTCATAGACGGAGATTCAGACTTGATTCTGAATTATCCATGATACATATATATTATAATCATAATAACTTCAGCATCTTTCCTCTTACTTGGTTTTCTTTTTATTGTAGTGCAAGTTTTAGAGTCTTTTCTGACATCCATTTTGATCTTTTCCTTCTTCCCTGTTTTGGAGTGAACTTTGCTTTTTCCATGCATGATGTCATCCCACATTCGTCTGCATCCCATCTATTCTTGAAATGGTTTTAAATATTCGCTTGGGGTAGACTCAGAGTTGTATTTGAATGCTGAGTGTGTTCTTCCCTTTTGGTTTTCTAATTCTAGCTACTTGTGCATTTCATTTTAATACTTCATCTCTTTGAGCTGCCATTTGCTATCTTCTGGTCAGCTCTCTTATCTCAGCATCCTTTCCCCTTGTTTTGACTTCTTTGCATTCCCATGCAAATTCAGAGGCTCTTCTAGCATCCATTTTGGTCTTTTCTTTATTCCCTGTCTTTATAATGCCCTTTTGCTTTCTTCATGGATGATATCCTTGACATCTTTCCACAACATGTCTGATCATAAGTCATTAGTGTTCAGAGCATCAGATTTCTTCTTGAGATGGCTTTTACATTCAGTTAGAATACACTCAAGGTCATATTTTGGTTCTCATGGACTTGTTTTCATTTTCTTCAACTTTAATTTGAAGTTGCATATGAGTAGTTCACAGACAGTCCCTAGCCTGGTTTTGTCTGCTGATACTGATCTTCTCCAGTGTCTCTTTCCACAGATGTAGTCAGTCTGATTCCTTTGTGGTCCATTAGGGTGAAGTCCATGTGTACAAGTTGCCATTGAGGGTGTTTGTTAAAATTTATAAAAAGTATTGTGCAAAATTCTATCATTCAGTTTCTAGCTTCATTTCTCTCTATTCTCCTCCTTTGTTTTGAACTTTTGAATTCAGTCACCGGTTATGATTAATGCATCTTGATTGCCTATTTGGTCAATTTCAGACTGCAAAAGTTGGTAAAAATCCTTAATCTTAATCTTAGGCTTTAGTAGTTGATGTGTGTATTTCAGTAGTAGTTGTATTAGCAGGTCTTCCTTGTATGCAGATGGATAATATCCTATTGTATAAAGCATTGTGACCTTAAATATTTTTGTTGACAGGGAATGCTGCCCTACTGCTCTTCAGTTTCTCATTCTCAGGCATAATAGTTCATAGGATTGTCTGATTGAGAATGGCCAGTACCAGTCCATCTGAACTCACTAATGCCTAAGATGTCAGTCTTTGTGCATTCTATTTCATGTCTGACAACTTCTAATTTTCCTGGGTTCATACTTTGTACACTCCATGCTCCAGTTATTAATGGATGTTTTCAGTGGTTTGCCCTCATTTTGAGTCTGCCGAATCATCACAGGAAGGTCCTTCATCGAAGCTTTACTCTGTCTGCTTTACCACAGTAGACTGTTTGACGTCTTCCTCAGTTGTGGCTGGAGTGCCTCATCATGGAGGGCCCATCTTCCAGCACTGTCCCTGCAGTGTTCTCTGGTAGAGGGCTTGCAAAGGCCGGTTATTTTAGAAATGGATGACCATTCCTGCTTCTTAGTCTGTTTTCATCTGGAAACTCCACTAAAACCTGCCTGCCATGGAAAATAGGATGAAGTGAGAAATCTGAAATGAAGGTTTTGAAGGGCCAATGAGGAAAACATAGCACAACATTATAATGAAAGGTGAAAAGACCTGGTGTTAGAAAACTAAGAGAGAAGAACTTGCTCAGCATTTCTCAAATTGAAAGAACTAGAGAGCAAAGTCAAGCTGAGGAGAACCCTGAAGTCAATGAGTCTCACAGGAGAACTCTGCTCCACAAGGTTTTCAATAGCTGGATATCCATCCAGGCCTTCATTCCAGTGTGCATGTGGGTGGGCTTAAACCTTCAACCATTTGTTTAGCAGTCAAGCATGGCAAACGTCACTCTGACTTCTTTATATAGGCCGTGTAAGACATAACCTTTCCTTGGTGACTGAGGCTTCTAAGAATGCCAAGTGTCCAGTTTTGGTTTGGCTTTGCCACTAGCTGGTTTATGACCTTGAGTAAGTAATTTAACAGCACCAGCTCTTAATTTCCCTTCTATAAAACAAAAGGTATGACAATTTCTATCATTGCTTATGGCTCACTCCTGGCGACTTCATGTGCAGCCAAGTAGAACTGGGCACCACTGGGTTCTCAGTACCTCATTTTCCTGTGGACAGCCAGGCTTTCCTTAAGGCAAAGTCTGGATGACAACTTTTTGGCTAATAGCTAAGCAAGCATTTGCACCTGCTAATCATTTTTCATGGAACTAAGAATGGAAGAGAACTGGGAAAACAGTAAATATAGGAAACCACTAATGGTATCTCCTTCCTCCTACTCTGAGCCTTTCTAGCTTTAAAGGGTGACTTGGAAAGTACAGCTTAATACACCTGGAGAGAAAAAAAAACCAAGGAAGGTATCAGAAAAGCAACAACTGAGGCAGAATTCCTTGGTGTCTTCAAAGCAGGAAAATTAACATAGAGAGATAACACTTAGGAGTTTTACCTCAGTAAGAAAAAAAAGCTGGTTTTCTTTTTTTTTTAAATTTTATTAATTTTAATGAACATTTACAGAGATTTTGTATTTCCCTTCATTCACTGTTGCACTTTCCTCCCTGCGCACCCCTCCCCTCCAGTTCACTCCTCTCTTTGAAAAGTAAGTAAAAGAAAAAGTCCTTCATTGGTACACAATCCCCCCCCAAAGACACCCACCCCCACCCCCTGTATACTTCAATCTCAAACCCTCACTCTTATGATAACCATAATACCCTATCATATATCACTTTTAAACTGTTTTCTCCCTCATCTGTTTCAATGCAGTATACATAATTTATCCAGTTTTTCTCAGTCTTACGCCAACCCTGATGTCAGTACCGTTCTGCAACAGTGGCACCATGCAGTATTTGTCCTTTCGTGACTGAGGTATTTCACTCAGCATAACGTCTCCCAGGGTCACCCATTTTGAATAATATTGCATGAGTTCCTTGTTTTTCAATGCAGCATAGTATTCCATTGTGTGAATAGACCACAGCTTCTCTATCCATTCGTTTGTTGATGGGCACTTGGGTTGTTTCCAGCTCCTTGCTATTGTGAACAAAGCCACGATAAACATGGGTGTGCATGATTTTATTTTCTGTTCTCATTTTTGCTTCAACCATTTTCTCCCCTCAAAAACTATTTGGTTTAAAACTCAAAGTATGTCTAAGAATTTCTAAGAACGTTGCCAGTCTCAGCTAGGGGTTGAACTTGAGGGCATCCTAATTATTTACAATTCCACTTCGAGTAAGGAATGACAGAGTTCCCTGGCTGCCAGCAAAGCCCAGTCACTTTGCTGGAGAACCTGTTTAACCTCAACTATGCCTGAGCTTTGTAAACTGAGGCCCAGGCCTCAGTGTTGTCTGAAGGTTGATGGCTCTAAGAACTGACAGTACAACAGGGAGGAGAAGGAAAATAGAGTAACTGATGTTAGCCTGTGTTCTGCTATGTTAGGATGACTCTTATGCCCATAGTTGTGTCTTACGATTTATGGTCTCTAAAGAAAAAAGAACACACTTGGGTGGTCATTAGAAGTAGGTTCCATTTTTTTTCCCCACAGAGCAAACTGTTGGATTCAAACAGCATGCCATTGTGTGGGCAATGCAACTCCTTACCACTCGGTCACCAGAGCTTCCTTAGCAAACGAATAGAGCTGCAGAATACACCAACATTAATAGACTTAAACACCTCAATTTAGGAGGACATTTAAACACATCATTACACTGAAAGACAATTAGAAAGAAACTCAACAAAGATGCAGAAGAACTATACAGTTAACCAACTCAACCTTGTAGATCTAAGCAGAGTATTTCACTTGGTAAAAGCTCAATTTATATTCTTCTTGAGTGCGCACACACACATTCTCCAGAATTGACCATATGTAGGGTACAAGAAAGTCTCAGTAAATTAAAAACATTAAAATACTATAAAGCATCTTCTTAGACCAGAGTGCTATAAAATTAGAAATTAATAATGAAGAAGGAGGAAAAATCTATCCACATGGAAGCTGAATAACACCTTGCTTCATCACTACAGGGTTATTGTTGTTAGGTGCCATCGAGTTGAGTATAAGTTATAGGAACACTGTAAACAGCGGACCTGAACCCTGTCCTGTCCTGCACCATCCTTATCATCTCTGACACACTGGAGCCCAATGCTGAAGTCACTGTGTCAGCCCATCTCACTGGGGGTCTTCCTTTCCGCTGAGCCTCCATCTTTCCAAGTATGATGCTCCTTGCCAAGGAGTAGCTTCACCTAGTTACATGTTCTGAGTATGAAAGATAAAGCTTTACCATCTTTGCATCCAAGGAGCACTCTGATTACATTTTTCCCAAGACATACCTGTTTTGTTTTTTGCAGTCCATGGTTTAGCCAGTACTGATCTTCAACCCCACAACTCAAAGGCATCGATTCCTCTCTCTTTCTTATTCATTGTCCAGCTCTCTGATGCATAGCAGATGATTGAGAAGACCATGGCCTAAGTCAGGTGGACCTTAGTCTTCAAGCTGACATCGTTGCTCTTCTGCAGTTTGGAGAGGTCCCTGACAGCCTACTCGCCCACTGCACTATGTCTCCTGATTTCCTGACTGCAGGTACCAGTGGTGTTGATTGTTGATCCAGGGAAGTTGAAATAAATCATTGACAGCTTCATTCCTTTCTCCAACTATCATAATGTTGGCTGTTGGTCCTGTGGTGAGGACCTTTGTCTTCTTGATGTTGAGATATAATCATACTGAAGGCTGTAGTCCTTGATCTTCTGCAGTAAGCGTTTCATACCCTCCTCCATTTCAGCAGGCAAGGTTGTGTCATCTGCATAACACACGTTGTTGAGGAATTTTTCTCCTAGTCTTCTGTTTATAAAAAAGAAAAGTGCATGCTTAAAGATGTTTTAGAAAACTGCAAGTATTAATTGGAAAAAGAGTATTAGTTAAATATCTTCAGTAAAAAAAATTACCCTTTATAGAACATTGATCCATCAGTTAGCTTTTTAATTTTGACTGGAAGTCTGTTTTCTTTTTCTGACTGCTTCTTTTAATCTTTTATTTGTTTGCCAATGGGAGGTGGTCTTTGGCTTGGGTGGCTTCCTGAGTTACTAGCTTGACTTGCTGTTGACTCCACAGTGGAGTCGTGTGACCTTCACAAGTAGCTTTTGTTTTCTTTGTGGAGAACGTCAAAAGGCCAAAATGCCATACCCACATCCCATGGACCCTTTTTAAAAAATGCAAATTCCATCTAGAACATTTCATTTGTAACAGTCTCAAGTCCCTTGACACAGTGCTATGTCTCTTGTGAATATAACTTTATTTACTTTAAAGAATGGGAATTTTTCTTGTCTGGCAATGAAAGCTGGAGTTTTTAGCATACTGCAAATCACTGCCAACAGTGTCAGTTGTTTGTTAACTGGGTTTATTGTTCAACAAGCTATGAAAATTGAATTAATGTTTATTATTATCATGGAATGGTTAGCTTTAAATTTTCTTTTTATTCTTACTATGCCATGGTGTTGTCACAGTTGATTGATAAATCCCTGTAGCTGTTAATGTCTCTGTGTCCTCGGGCTTTGATGGTGACTTTACATGACGCTTCTTTTTCTTAGTTTGACTACATTCCTGTGACATCCATCCCTCTTCTCAGTATTTCTTGGAATTTCATGTATACTCCTACATTTTTTAAAATTTCATTTTATTTAATGAACATTTACAGAGATTTTGGATTTCCATTCATTCATTGTTGTACTTTTCTCCCTGCCCTCCCCTCCCTCAAAGTTCTCTCCTCTCTTTGAAAAGTAAAATTCCTTCATTGGTATACAATCCCCACACTCCCCCTCCACCCCCGACCCAAGTACACTCCACTATGCAACCTTAATTCTGGACTCTTGTGATAACCATAATACCCTGTTATATATCACTTTTAAATTGTTCTTTCCCTCATCTGTTTCAATGCAGTATACATAATTTATCCAGTTTTTCTCAGTCTTACTCCAACCCTGATGTCAGACCCATTCTACAACAGTGGCTCGCAGTATTTGTCCTTTTGTGACTGAGATATTTCACTTAGCATAATATCCTCCAGGCTCACCCATTTTGAATAATATTTCATGAGTTCTTTGTTTTTCAATGCAGCATAGTATTCCATTGTGTGAATATACCACAGCTTCTCTATCCATTTGTTTGTTGATGGAAACATTTCTATGCACTATGTAAAATGCTTTCTAAATTCTCTTACAGCTGTATCCAAGAATTAAACCAAGACAAAGGAGCTTGGCTTGAACTGTGGAATTTGTGAATGAAGAAATAACCTCTGCTGTTAGTAGGAAGCAGTACATGTTGATTGGTGGGGTTTTGTTTTGTTTTAAATTTTGCAAAGATTTCACAAGACTTTAATGAAATTTTAATTGAAAGCCATGGGGAACAATGAAGGATTTAAGAATTCACTTTTCATGGAGAGCATTCAGCCCAGTGAAAGGGAGTTTGTGGGTGTACAGATTGCACTGCATTCACTGAAAGGCATTGTTGGTCGCACTTAGACGGACAGAGAGTGACAATCTGCTTGGTTTTTTCCTTGCCATTTATTTTACTAGTGGGAGTGTCAGCTTCAGGTTCTGCTTAATTGGGTTTTTAACATCTGTCCAGTACCGGTTCTCCCACCAGAAAAAGACCAGTGCTATCATGTCCCAAGCACCAGGCGACCCTCGAGGGATTCATGAAGGTTTGAAGGTGCCCACACTTCTGTAGCACCTGTGAGGAGCTGTGCTTGTTAGTGAGCAGTAACTTTATTACACGAGTTCTTAACACATCTAAAGAATCACGGATTTGAAATATTAAGACTAAACTACAGGTAATTAGATTTAGAATCCTGGTTTTAGACTAAATTTGTATCTCTATTTATTATCTTTTATATCTTAGAAATTAGACTTACTATAAATCTACTTGTAATATTTGTCAAGGCCATAGCTGATATGGAAAATAATTGTAATAAAATTAAACTTTGTGTCTCTAAACTTTTTACTGGTTTTAATTTGGAGTGTATGTGTATTAAAATTATGTATCACAACATCTACCATTTCAACTAGTTGGTTTTAATTTTTTATGTCATAACCTTTCAGTCAAAAGTTTTTGGAGTAACTTACTCAACTGAAAATAATTCCTTAATGCAGAACTATTTAACTGCAGTAACATTTCCTTACTAGCCATGCATTTAAGCATAAGAAATACTGCTCCCAGGTCAACACAGATCGCATGCTCAGTATATACTCTTGAGATTTCAGCTCCAGGAAGTTCCTGGGTGGTGAGTGCCCTGGCTTTGGCCCCTCTTACCTAGACAAAGAATTGACCAGATGGGAGACCCCAGGGGGTCAGAGGCCTCCAGGAGGGTACAGCTCTTTCTCAGAAGAGCTCGTGCTCCACCGATACTGTGGTCCCAGGGCCCCCACAAACCCATCGGCCGGCCAGTGAAGTCAGTGATGTCCAGCTTGCCAGGAAGGAAGCTCAGACAAGAGTGGAGGTAAAAGCAGAGGTTCCAGAGAGAGGAAGCCATTACTCTGATGAAGAGCAGGCACGGGTGTGGAGAGGACAGTAGGCTGGGAGGGGTTGGCTACTGTTCCAGCCAGTCCACTTCCTCTGATGGCCTGTGCAGTGCAGGTCGTGTTGGGACCCATGGAATGGTGTAGCTGGAGGTTCTGCTTCCTCATGTCTGTGGTGGTTTATTGGGCCTCCTGCTGGCTCAGATGGTAACTAGATTACTTTGGAGGTAGTTGCTCCTCCAAGGCCTCAGGTCTTCCCTGTGAGGTTGAGTTAGATGCTGGCTCTGACTGAACTAGCCTTTGTCCTCTGGTTCACGTTCTTCTATGGGCTCAGCTCCTGATAGCATGACAAGGTCCAGTTGGAACTACAAGGCATTTGATGTCTTTCACTCTCAAATTTGATGCTTTTGCCCCAAATTATTTAACAGCTAACTCCTAACAGTATTTCTAAGAAAAGTCTAGTACTTGGTGATCTCCAGTATGTAATTAAGGTGTTTTTTAAAACCTTAGATTGTAGTTACAGAAGCTTGTGTGGACGTTTTACCTAGAGCCGTTTCATTATCTCATTTCAAGTCCTTCTTAGTGTTATATACATTGATTTATGGGGTGAAAGCTTATATAGACAAATTCTCTGCACGTTTTTTTTTTGTTTTGGTTTGGTTGGTTTTTTTTTAGAGGTGAACAGTCTTTATTAGCGTATTAGCTTCCCATTGCTGTTCTAACAAATGACCACAAACCTAGCAGCTGGAGACAAATTTCGTCTTACATTTGGAGTCTGCATTCATTTCACTGGGCTAAACTCAATGCTGGCAGCGCTGGATCCTTTGGGGAACCCCAAGGGGCAAGCCCACTCCCTTGACTTCTAGATTCTGGAGGTGCCTACACTCTGTGGCTCCCAACTCCTTCCTAGTATTGCTCGAGCCTCTTAATCTACTTCCTCTCTGATCTGCCTCCCTTTTAAAGAATTCTGTGATTAGGATTAGGTCAGATACACTGGATAATCCCCCATCTCAAGCCTTATTTAATCACATCTGCAAAATCTCTTTTGACATATAAAGTTACGTTCACAGATGCCTGGAGTTAGAAAATAAATAATCTGTGAAAAGGGACATTATTCAGTCTACTGCTATGCCCTCCAGAATTTTCAGTGACTGGGAGGAAAAAGATGAGGGACTTTCCACCTTGGGGGTCCTTACAACCTTGTATTTTTAAAGGTGTGGGCTTTGCTACTCTTTCCCTATATAGCAGGAACAGCTCACTCCTGTGTCCTCTGGAAGACAAGTTGTCTTTTTTTCCAGAAGACAAGTGTCAAGTTCAAATGCTGGTGAGAAGGGCAGGGCCAGCCCAGAGTCTCCCAGGTAGAGTACGCTGCCCTGAGCCCACTGACTGGACAGACCTGCGGTCAGGAAGGGAAGCAGAAGAGCCTGGGGCCTGGAGATGATCCCATGGGAGACCAGCCTGAGCTGACCAGAACATGGCAGCCAGGGAGAAGGGCGGCTGCAGAGGCTGGTCTGGTGCTGGGGCGCCTGGATGAAGAAGCTGGGGGCTGCGCTGATGGTGGCGCTGCAGACGTGGTGGGAGAGTCTCTGGCCCCCAGCACCCAGAGGTGAGGGTGAGGTCCTCCCAAATCCCTGGCACTGGTCCTTTTCTGTGTAATGAGTAAGTGGCCGGAGAGGTGGGCAGCCCAGTGCAGGTGGGCACGGAGTCTCCCCTGCTACCTCTTCTCCATGTCCTCCATTTGCAAGCTGAGAGATGTGAAGCTGGCCAGGAGGTTGGTCACCTCGTCCACCTGCTCTTTGGTGCTGGTCATCTGGAGGTGGTTGCAAAGGTCATCCAGCTGCTCCCACTGCTCGTGCCGGCCCAGGCGCTCTAGGTATTCCCTCAACATATGGATGATCTGCTTCACCTCGAGCCGCACGGCCTCCAGGCACTGGGACTTGCACTCCTGCAGGATGTTCAGCTTGGACTTGGCCAGGTGAAGGGGCGTGCGGCCAGCTCGGTCCTGGGCATCCACACGGGCACCTCCTCGCAGCAGGGTGGTGATGACAGGAACATGGTTGGTGCAGGCCGCCAGGTGTAGCGGTGTGTTTCCTAGTGCGTCTCGTTGGTTGGGATCGGCCCCGTGGTCCAGGAGCAGCTGCACTATCTGGTCGTTGCCATTGCCAAGAGGCAAAGTGCAGAGCTGTACGGCCCTTGTCCGCTGCACAGGGATCCACGCTATTGTTAAGCAGCTCCTGCACCGTATCCACGCCATTGGCGTTGGCAGAGTCCCTCAGTCTCCTTTGATCTAGCACCTCCCTGCCGGACGGCGGTGGGGCCTGGCGGCGCGTCTCAGCTGGGAGGCCAGGAGCGTGGCGGGTCTGCTGCTCATCCTCCCAGAGCATACGCATGCACTCCGCGGCAGATGGCCGCCTCGGGAGGCCCGCACCGCTGCCGAGCGGCGGCTCGAATCTCGAGAAGCCCAATATAAGTCCGGGGCTTTTCCAGGGCTCCGGCGCCGCCCGGTGCCCGTCCTCGGGGCACGACCGGGCCAAGAGCCTCGGCGGCGGCTGCCGTGACAACACTCAGTGCGGGACTCGAACCTCGTTCCCAGACGACCCACCGTCTGCACGTTTTTTAATGTTAGCAAACTTACGAACTGTTTTAGAATTTATTTTCTCTACTGAAACTATACTACCTAATGGAGCGCGGATGTGGCCTTGAGGCGAGAAGCTGTGCTGTGGCCATTGGAATCCAGCAGCTGCTCCTTGGGAGGAGGATGGACACTCTCCCTCCCGTGTGATTTCCTGTCTCTGAAAACCTGCTGAGGGTCAGCTATGGGTTGGTTCTGGCTCAGTGGTACACAGCAAAAACATGCTACATAAAAGGGAGTCCTGGTGGCTAAAGAGAGGAGCTGTGCAATCCTAAAGGCATGCACACAGTTCAACTCCACCAGCAGCTCCGTGGGAGAAAGACGGACCATCTCCTCCTGTGCAATTTCCTGCCTCTGAAAATCCTGGAGGGCCAGCTATGGGCTGGCTCCCACTTGATGTCATAAACCAGCCTACTTAAGATATAAATAAACCAATGATCACTCTTCCACATTTTAATGTAGCTAAATCTACCAGGGGAAGTAAGTGAAGGGCAAGCTATCATACTTTTCAGAGTATGGAAAGAGTAACATCTTGGGATGCTCTGTCCCCACCTTCCTCTCTTGTTTTCACTCATTCAGGTGAAGTGACTCTGCAGGTGTAATTAAGATTCTTAATTAGCTGCCTTTGAAGCAAAGATCCTGGGCTACTTGGTGGACACATTCACCCTTAAAAATGGAAGAGGTGAGGGCAAGGAAATGACAAATGTGAGAGGAATTTGCCTCCTATTTCTGGCTCTTATGTTGAAGGGGTCTCAAACCAGGGAATTCAGGACCACCAGAAGCTGTGAGAACAGCCCCTAGCCGACAGCCAGTAAGGAATGTGCCTGCACACACCTTGAAGTCGCCCAGGAGACCTATGGGACTGCTAACCTGTACAACAGATGACGGGTGTTTTGGGGGTTTTTATTATTAATTTTAGTGAAAGTTTACAGAGACCTTGGATTTCCATTCATTCATTGTACTTTTCTCCCTGCCCACCCCTCTTCCCCAGTTCACTCTTCTCTTTGAAAAGTAAAAGAAAAATTCTTTCATTGTTATCCAGTCCCTCCCCCAAGGTCCACTCCACTATGCAGCCTTCATTCCGGACTCCTGTTATGACAAAAATACCTAATCATATATGCCTTTTAAACAGTTCTGTCGCCCATCTCTTTCAATGCAGTATACATTATTGGACCGATCTTTCTCCTTCTCCCCCCAACACTGATGTCAGTCCTGTTTTACAACAGTGGCACTATGCAATATTTGTCCTTTTGTGACTGAAATAGTTCACTCAGCATGTCCTCCAGGTTCACCCATTTTGAATAATATTGCATGAGTCCCTTGTTTTTCATTGCAGTGTAGTATTCCATTGTGTGGATATCCCACAGCTTCTCTATCCATTTGTTTGTTGATGGGCACTTAGGTTGTTTTCAACTCCTTGCTATTGTGAACAAAGCCACAATAAGCATGGATGTGCAAAATATCTGCTTGGGTGGCGGTTATGGTTTCTTTAGGGTATATTCCCAGTTGTGGAACTGCTGAGTCAAATGGTATTTCTACTTGCAGCTTTTTGAGAAAGCACCATACATCCTTCCACAGTGGTTGCACCATTTTACACATGCACCAACAATGAATAAGGGTTCCAGTTTCTCCACAGTCTTGCCAGCATTTGTTGTTTGCTGTTCTGCTGAATTTTGCTATTCTGACTGGGGTGAGATGGTATCTCATAGTTGTTCTGATTTGCATCTCTCTTAGAGCCAGAGATTTCATTTGTGTGTTTGCAATCTGAAAGTTGTCTTTGGTGAAGTATCTGTTCATATCCTGTGCCCATTTTTCAATTGGATTGTTTACCTTTATCTTGTTGTGGTGGGTGACAGGTGTTTTACCCAACTGGATTTATGCCCCTTGTTAGAGCATCAGCCAGAGAGAAAAGGAGGGTCCTGACCCCAGGCTGCTCCATTTACCAGTTCATCATATGCCCAAGGAACTCTTCAGAGCTGCCCCTCCAGTGTGTGAAGTTCTAGTACCATCACCTCTGTATACTTGGACTTGTTGAAGGAGATGTATTAAATATAAAAAGGGCTGTTCTTGGAGAGGGGACATAATGCTCAGAGGCAGAGCATCAGGTGAATTGGCACAGTGACTGCTGCAGTGGGCTCCAGTGTGTCAGGAAGTGTGAGGATGACACAGGATAGAACAGGGTCTAGATCTGTTCATAGGGTCGCTATGTGTGGTATTTGGCGGTACCTAACTACATAAGATGACAGCAAAGAGTTGCACAAGTCTCAAAAGATAAAAGTCATGGTCTGATTTATATTCTTTAAATAAAAAGGAGTCATCGCAATGCAGTCGTTAAGTGCTTAGCTGCCAACTGAAAGGTTGAAAGTTCAAACACAGCACTTTGCCAGTAGAAGGATGGCGCATCCTGCCTCTGTGAAAGTCTCAGCCTTGGGAAATGTATGGGGCAGCTCTCCCTGGTCTTAGGACAGCCACGAGTCACACTCATCTGACAATAGACAATTCTAAACTTGGAGCACTGTACCTTAGCATTATCAAGGTAAAGCTGCTCCTTACAGAACTGTTTATAAATACAGAGGGTATGGGGACTAGGTGTGTCAGAGAGAGATGGCTCAGGATAGGAAGTGGTTCAGAGCTACTATGCCTAGGGTTGCTAGGGGTTGCAGGCGACCCCACGGAACTTAACAGCACTATTATGTGCTGGCGAGACTGTCCTCTAGTTCCCCGGCACTGAGAGTCTTAATGGAATCAGAGGGCCATATCTTATCCTTTGGGGCAACTGACTGGTAGGTTTGAACCACTGCAGAGCCACCAGGTTCAAGGATAGCTTTTTCTCATGGAAGCGATGAGGGGTTAGTTAAGGGCAAACGTGTACAAACCAAAGGAAACGGAAAGTCAGCTTTAACAGATGTGGTAGTGGGAAAATCGAGAATATGTATCTATAGATGTGTATATAAATTCTACTTCTGGTAGCCTAATGGTAAGGAGCTGTGCTGTCAACCCATAGATAGGAAGTTTGATTCCCCCAGCTGCTCCACAGGAGAAAGATGGGCAGTCTCCTCTTGTACGGTTTACTGCCTCTGAAAACCCACTGGAGGGTCAGTGAGGAGTCAGTTCTGACTCTACTGCACACACCACCACCACCACCAATATGTACACATGTAGTATGTATATATACTACATGTATATGCATATCATGTGGAAACAGCTAAAATACCAACCTATGCTTCGGAATAGACAGCTACATGGATTGGGATTACTCCACACCCATGGTCCCTGAGCTCTCACCACTCACAAGCAGGAAGACTTGAACTCAGCTGAGCTGGGGAATTTCATCTTTCTTTTCTTCAGATATGGGCTTGGACGTGTCTATCTCCACTGCACTGTCTTATCTTCTGTGATTCCTCATGGACTCCCAACAGCAGCCAGCATTTAATCTGCATGTTTTCTCAGCACCCTTTCTCATTCCCCACACCTTTGGGCATGAAATCGATGCTGGAGGGTAAAGGAGGAACCTGGTACAAAGTGCTCACGTCCCTTCCAGAACCTCCAGTGGAAATGCTAAGCAGAAATTAAGAGCTGGCGTCTTTGATTCAACTAGCAGAGCTGCTACGTCCAACTTTATTTCTACACTTTGATTAGGTCAGCTGCTCTTTCCTCCCAGCATATGAATGTGCAGAGCTAGGCCACCTAGTTATGTGGACACAAAACATTACCATGTGCTCATACCACACTCTGGAGCCCCCCAGGAAGGAACACATAGTCTGATGTGACCGCACAGGGCCCTTTATTTAACAGTACATTAGAAATTAAGGCAATAAGGCAGTATTTTTGTAACATTGCTAGCATTTTCCAAGGCAAAGCAGGTAAACAGTTAAACATGTTTCCCAAGGTAAACAGTCTGTGCTGTCTCCAGCAAGACCTCTGCATGATGTCTCCTCAACAGCACACTAGAGTTGCTGAGGGAAGTGTCAAGGTGGCAGGCAGCGTTCGCAAAGTGGGTGCCTGTTTCAGTTGATCGCGAGTGGAGTCCCCTAAATGCACAGGCCAGATATGCCCAAGGACCTCCATCTAAGGATTGCTATTAACAACCAATATCCTGTCTCCTGTTGAATCTGGGTGATGGAGGTAAGGTTTCTGCACAGACTGTCTTCAACACCTTGACAAGATGATTTCTTGATGTGTCGTTTTTGCTCAAGGAGACTGGCAGTCCTGGGCTGCTATGGGTAGATGTCACAGCTGCATTTTTTAAATTGCAGACGCTTGAAATATTCCCCTTAAGGGCTTTGTACCCCAAGACTGATGCCATGCTTATCCTGCTGCCAAAACACCTCCCTGTATTTCTCCCCTGATTTAATATTGCTGTCAGTGGTAAAGTGTGTAAAAGTAAAAAGTGTATGCTACATACAGATTTAAAGCTAACCCAGGGTTTTTGCATTTATTATAATACTATGCAGATCTTTTAATGGCTGAAGGTTCTACTATCTCAAATAGTATTGTTTTCAGTTATAATAGTCATTTGAAGTATGTTCTCATAATTTCAGGGTCCATATAAAAGCACTTTTCTCTGGAAGCTAAGTTCTTGGTTTGCTTTCTTGACAAACAGATAAGTTACAGCTTCAGAGTACTGAAAAACAGAGCCACTGTGAGAGAGAAAATAAAACAAGTCAGGTCCAAAGTAAAATCAGATTTGCTGTCAACCGAGTTCATTCCAAATCACAGCAACCAGACACGTCAGAAGAGAACTGCCCGGAGTGCTGAGGCTGTAAGTCTTGAAGGAGGCCACAGAGCAGCAAGTGGGTTCAAACTGCCGACCTTCTGGTTACTAGCAGAGTGCTTCCCTCAAGGCTGTTTTTTTTAACTCCCTGCCTATTCTGAAAGACTGACTCTGCTTCCTAAAGATGCAGAGCCTCAGGCTTGGTGGGGCAGCTCACCCTGTCCTGTAGGATCACTCTGAATTGAAGTGACTACGTTTACTCACCATTTACCTGATCCTACAATTTCAAGGGAGGGGTATTTCCTAGTGCCGGAGAGTCACTTGCAACTCCTAACGACCCTGTGTATAACAGCTCTGAACCCTGCTCTATCCTGAGCCAACCTCATCATGTCTGACACACCCAGCCCCACTTCCCTAGTCACTGAGTCAATCCATCTCACCAAGGGTCTCCCTCTCTTCCGCAGTCCCTCCACCCTCCCAAGCATGATGTCTGTCTCCAAGGACTGGCATTTGGACATGCCCAAGGCATGTAAGACAAAGCTTTAGAATCCTTGTATCCAAGAAGCAGCCTGGTTTCACCCTCTCCAGTGTTAACTGTAGACAATTACATGTTCAGGTGGCCAGAGGCTTAACAAAAGAGCGAAACACTTTCGTTTCTAGCGTTCTCTAAAGTTTAAAACTCAAGATGAGTTTTTTTCCTCTACCTCTTTAGGTTCAGAGGACTGACTCATCCCAGAACAAGCTCTATCTTTTCTAATAAAACTGGGTTTATTTCACCTTTTAAAAAACCTCAAGGACAAGTGGTGGTTCCTAGGGCCTAGGCCGCCTTCTGCTCTGTCTGTCATGTGAGGATGAGGCTGATTGCCTTACCGTTCCCCTCAGGCCGGCTAGGTTACAGCCTGTGCAGCTGCACGTTCAGGGCACATGAGCAGCACATGAGGTGGAAAGCCTGTCCACTGGCACCTTTCCTGTCCACCACGCACCAAGGGAACAGCCATCTCAGTGTACCTGGTGCTTTTCCAAAGGAACTGGGAACTGAATTTCCAGTTGATGACCACTTCAGAGGTGAGTATTACTGTGTTCCAGGCGCATGAGGATGCTAATTTATTTACATCCAGGAGACTTACTCTGATTTTTAAGTCAAAGGGAGAGGAAGAAAAGTCATGGGCTCACAAAGCATTTTAAGTCGATGTGCACACAAGCCAGATTCTCCCCAAAGCCCAAGCTGGATTTCATCCAAGGGCTTATTTATGTAGGCTCCATCTCTCACACATGCTAATGCCCTGTTTTCTAGTGGTGATTCTTATTTCAACCTCACTCTCAAAGCTCTGGGGATGAGGTAGCAGTCAGACTTTCTTGGAGCTAGGAGTTGGGAGCCCATGATTTGAAAAGCTGCCTTGTGGGGTCTTACAACCCTATAGAGGCCTGTTCCAGGAAGACAGAAGGGGAGTTTTACTTAGCCAGCTGACAAGTCATAGGTCTCTGTCACTCAGGCCACCGCCCTGCCCCTACCCTCCTCTTCCATGACGGTGCCCCTGGAAGGCTGTCACTTACAGAGATGAGGTCCAGTTCTATGGTCCCAGTGTTCTCAGGGTCAAGCTGCTTGAATATCTCTGTGAAGGAAGATGAGGTCACAAATGCATGAGCTGGAACTCAGGCCACATGGTCCTCCTCCACTGATGTGGCAGGTAACTTCACTGTCACCAGCTATTATTTCTTCCCTCATCCCCTTGTTAGTGAAGAGACTGTCATTCTCCAAACCTGGACTGGCGGCTTCCCACCCAGCTGATGTCGCTGAAAAGCAGTCAGCATTAAGAGAATGAAAGTGGGCTCCCCCCAGATGTTCACTCACTGAACAGCGTCTCCAGTCGAACCAAACACCGAACGAAATTGTCAAAGTCGATGATGAGTTCGTCGTCTGCAAACCGGGCCACAATGACTTGGTGGAGTTGACAGGGCAGCTTGAAACCTGGTTACAAGGCAGACCAAATTGCTAGATACAAGGCTGCTCAGGGGCCATCGGGGCAGGATCAGAAGAATGAGAATGGCTTTTGGCCCTTGGCTGAGCCTTGGTGAGACTTGTTTTCTTTTGCAGTCAGTGCCTTCTGTTTTCTTGTCCCTATTCACCCTTCCACTGCTTACATTTACTTAGTGACTGCTGCCCTTTGTCTTGGCCAAACCTAATGTCCTTTCCCCAAGACCCTTTTTTCCTGCTCTGTGTCCATGGCTTGTGCTATTTCACTGTGTTAACAATGCTTATTTTGTTCAGCTCAGAGTCCTCATTGAAGATGAAATTCTTTCTGCACAGCACCCAGTATCAACTCCCCCTTTTTCCACAGTACTGCAATTTTTCTGTGGACCCATGGCTCCCTAAACTGTGGACAGCTTTTCCCAGTCTCCATCGAGGCTGCTTGCAGCCTTGTGATGAAAGTGTAGCTAGTGGGAAGCGAGAAGGAGAGAGCAACATGTGCCTTTTAGTGCAAGGAGCCTAAGCTGCTGTGACTGAGGCTCAAGTCATCCTGGGTCACCTGGACGAGGACAGCACTCTCAGGATGAGGCCATGGCAAGAAGGAGCCCAGGCCCCCAACAGCACTGAGGGCCCAGGCCAGACTGAGACAACTCGAGCTTGGGTGCTATACAAGAGAAAATACATCCCACCAAACTGCTAGGTCTGGGGTCTGTATGACAGCATTACATCCCCACCAATCCAGTGAACAACTTGGGGTTTGCACAGCGTGTACTCCCTCCGAATCCCTTTCAGGGGTGGGCTGAGGGCTGAGACCCTGACATTCCATTTCCAGCCAGCCCCGGAGTGCAGGCACTGGGGCGGCCGGTGGGAATTGGCTTTGCCTGCCTGACTTGTCAGACTGCCTGTGAAGTCCTGAGGACACCATAAGGCAGCACAAAGAGCAGTGGACCCTGGACCACACTTTTAGTTTACCAGGGAGTCCTGCAAAGGGAGTGAAAGGTTGTTTGTATTAAGTCAGCGCCTCCTTTAGTAGAGCTGATCGAGTGTTGTACCATGCAGGGGCAGCCTCCACTCAGTCTGCAGGTGAAACGCAGAGAACAGGAATGAAGGGTTACCTGCTTCTTCTAAGGCTTTCCTCATCTCATAGGAATTCATAGTGCCAGACCTGTCCACATCAATTTCTCGGTAAATTTTCTGAAATGTGCAAAACAAGTAGTAAGAACCTTGATCCAGAGGAAGAAGAAATAGAGACGTGCTTCCGGTTCTGGATTTGTCTAATTTGTCTTTGGAAGTGTCACCTACAGTTCAGCCTTAACTGTTGTGTGCTACTAAGCTGGAACTGAGCCACAGCTGGCCCTCCATGGGTTTTCAGAGGCAGTAAACTGCACGGAAGGAGACTGCCCCTTCTCCTGTGGGGAACTGATGGATCTGACCTGCATACCTTTCAGCAATTCTTTACCACTTTCCTTAGGTCACAGTGTTTTGTTTTTCTCTATGAGTTTGGGGTAAGGGCCCTGGTGACACAGTGGTTAGGTACTTGGCTGGCAACCCAAAGGTTGGCAGTTTGAACCCACAGGCTGCTCTGCTGGATGGAGATGTAGTAGCTGCATGCTCCAGTAATGACCTACCGTGCAGCACACCCCACAGGGAAAATGCACTGTCTTCTGTGGTCCCTCAGAGTCTGAATGAACTCCACAGAATGGACTCCACAGGCTGGGCTTTTAAGGACAGGGGAGAAAGCTGAGCAATATCTGGTGTGGGTTTCTGGGGCTCTATTTTGCCCTGTTGTTTGGTAAGATGCCTCTCACAAAAGCCTCACCATTCTGTGCTTCCTACAGACTCACGCGATTGTCCTAGGTTACTGTCTGTACTTGAGCTGTCAAAACTCCGAGTTACAGGGACTCACGGCCTTTCCAGGCGGTCATGCCTGGGAATTTTGGATGTCCCCATTTCCGGAAATGATCAGATGGAAGCAGAGAACGCACCTGACGTGCAAGTTCGCTGGATTTTTTTAGGTAATGACTGACCCGTCCACCTGGCCGGCCCTGCCTTCACTCAGCTGAGCTCTGTCATGGGGACACCCTCCTGAAGAGCTCCACGTCTTCCCCCACTCTCGCATTAGCGCTCCCATCCAGCCTTACCTGGTATTTTTGAATCTTCGTCCAGAGAATGTAGAACTCCTTCAGGCCCAGCTTACCACTCCCATCCGACTGCCTTTGGCTAAGGAAAGCTCTCAAGGCTGAGCTCACTGGGCAGGAAACCTGGGGGTGTCCTTGTCCTGGCTAAAACCCTGCTAATCCCAGCAGGACTGCAGGAGACTCTGAGGACTGTGCTGGCCACAGAAGGAAGGATGACAGAGGCACTAGCTCTCCACTGAGCCTGCTCTGAGTCAGGTGGCTGTCCTGAGGTGGGGATGATGAAGCGAGGAGCCAGACATTCTAAAATGAACTACAAGAGACCACAGGGCGCTTTGGCAGACTTCACGTGCCACCTCGGGTACTTCTGGGCAGTCTTTGCGAGGGGAGCTACCAAATGGCAACTCCCATGAGTGCATTACGAAACTCCTCAGAATCTTGGACTTACAAGCAACAATAAAGTAACAAGACTAATCTTTTTACAGTGTTGTTACTGTCAAGTCATAACTGACCCATAGCTGATCCTCCAGAGAGTTTTTAGAGGTGATTAAACACACAGGAGACTGTCCATCCTTTTTCCGTGGAACAGCTGGTGGATTCGAATTGCATGCCTTTGCGACCACAGTGCAGCTTCTTAACCCTAGGCCACCATTGCTCAAGAAAAACATTATTGTATCGATTTTCACTTTAAGGTTTCAATCAAAAGTTTGGGCCACTGGTTTATAAGAGGAGCCAGGACGGCTCATTGCCTCAGAGGCTCATGTGAGTCTTGTGTCAGTGAACAATAAAGAAGTCAGAATCGGGCAGGAGATACAGTTAACAGGGCCCCTTATCTAGGAACCCAGAGGGAATCCTGACCCAAGAAAGCAGCTCCCCTCAGTGATAACATGGTCTAGGAGAGGTTGTCCAAGGGACACAGAGGCAAAATGCCACTCAGAAAAGCTGCTCTGAGAGAAATGGTGGGTGAGCTGCTGAGAAATCTCCATAGTCTAGGCCTGTGGGGTATAAGGAAGGCCGGGGTCACAAACGGTGCCACAGCTCGGAGGGTGGAGCAGCCGACTGTGACGGGAGAAGGCGAGTCTTTTCAGAGCTATTCCCCTCAGCACAGGAAAGGATACATCGAGCATGTCTACCATGATCTTGCAAGTCTCAATGCTGAAGCCATCTGACTTGATATCCTGGCCTGAAAGACAGAACAAGTATGAAAGGAAAAATCAGAGCTGAAGAGGATTCCACACTATGGTGACGTTCTCCACCTACAACGCCCAGCAGGTGTCACCTGTGGCTGGCTGCTGAGTCCTCAAAAAGGTAGGACTCAAATGATTTCAAATAGCTGCTCTGCTGCCTAGTGGTAGGAGCTGCACTGCCAACCTGAAGGCACACGGTTCAAATCCAGCAGCTGCTCCACATGAGAAATATGGGCAGTCTCCTCCCATCTGATTTACAGCCTCTGAAAATCCGCTGAAGGGTCAGCTATGAGTCAGTTCCAACTCGATGGCACACAACAGGAGCAGCAGCACGAGGCTAGTGCTTACTGTACCAGGATAGTGCAGGACAAGGGTTAGGTTTGTGTGCCTTATATGTCTGCCATGAACAAAGAGTTTTAACAAGTACATTAAAATAAGACAATGTTGGATAGCCTCGTTGGTAAGGAGTTGCACTGCCAACCTAGGCAGGAGGTTGTAGGTTACCAGCTGTTCTGAGGGAGAAGGATGGGCAGTCTCCTCCTGTGCGATTTACAGCCTCTGAAGACCCGCTGGAGGGGCAGCCATGAGTTCTCACTTGATAGCAAGGAATTTGAGGGGTTTTTTTGTGTAGTGAAAGGATGAGAACTAGCTGGATCTTAATGGACCACCCCGCCTGCCGTGGGACCAGCTCTGTCTGGTAACCCCGTACATGTCAGAGAAAAGCCGTGGTTTTCAGTGGCTGATTTTTCGTAGTCCTTGGTCTGGCTCTTTAGTTAGCAGCTGGGTCCCACCCAGGAATTCCTGTTATGTACTAATGGGGTGCAAAGCCACCCATGGACATTGGGCAGGAAAACGGCATGTGTTCACTGTAGCCATGACCTGGGCGAGGTGGACTGGCTGGAACTATGGGTTTGTACTGTGGCTGTGGGTGACTCAGAAGCCTAGAGACCAGGTAGGTCCAGGGGGTCCTGTCCAGTTGGGGGCTCAGCAACCCACAGACTTAATGGGGAGCTCACATTCCTGGCATATTCTTGTGAGAAGTTACCTAGCAAGGTAGCCACCCTGTTAGGGCCTCCTGAAGCTGAAGATGGGACACAGGCCTCCCAGCTGCAACTCTGAGAACCACTGCTTCTCAGACACTGGTCTGGTCTTCTCTAGAATCACAGACAGAAGCCAAGCGTGGGCCGTGAGCAGAGGCTAGAGTCGTCAGGCAGCTGGGGGAGCGGAACGCTGAGGCACGTTATGTCCACTGGAGGCTAACAATGCGGCTTCAGTCTCCTGGGCACATGACAGCCCAGGACACATCTGAAGGGCTCTGTGACCTCATTTGTGCCTGGTGGGCTCAGGGTAAACACCAGCTCTCAGCCTCCCCACGTGACACAGGAGCCCCACACAGGACTGACTGTGCCTGGTGGCCTCGGTGAACACCAGCTCTCAGCCTCCCCACATGGCATGGGAGCCTTGAATGGAACCCCAGCTCCCAGCCTCCCCATGCAGCACGGGAGCCCTGTACAGGACTGGTTGTTCCTGACCATGTCGGCCCTTCTTTGTTGTCCAGCATCCTGTTTTGAGCACAAAGCTCTCACACGGCCATCTGCTGGGCAGCCACAGGTTAGGGACATGCCAGTCACGTTCACAAACACAGGGGCCTGGGCTCTTCGGGTCTGAGGAGTTTGTGGGGTTAGACTAGCAGCTTGCCCTCTGCTGGCAGAAGGAAGAACTTCTCTGAAGGCTGGGAAACTACTCCAGACAGTCCACAGGCTGAACATTCAGGATATGACAGCTGGAGCTTCTGTTTCTGGATCAGGTTTAGAACTTACTTATCCTGGCATATAAAACCTGTTCACTGGAAGTAGCACAATATTTGCAATAACTTGTACACACACACACGCACACACACACACACACACACACACGGCACAAGATGGTTTAGTGGGCTTTCCAGGGATGGAGGAAGGTACTTACAGTAGGCACACTGCCCCTCAGAGCAAGAGAGCTGAGTGCCTGTGAACTGAGGCTTACTAGCAGCGTGGGGTGCCATTGAGCACTTATTGATAGAGCTCAGGAGCTCTGTAACATTGCCCAAGAAGAGCTAAGAGGCCAGATGCCAGAGAGAGGGTTTTGATCCGAGGACAGATCTTGGACAGGCAGAGCTGAAAAGAGGCCATTTTGATTGAAGAACTGTATCTTTATTCCTTCCTGACTCTATAAACTGTCACTTAATAAACCCCTTATCAGGTGGGCGCAGAGGGGTGAGATTGGTTTGGGCAAAATACCAGAGCTGCAGAGTTTCGTGGGGAGAGGGAGGCGGTGAAGGAAACAGTAAGGACCTGGCGAGGACCTGAAAAGACAGGGTAATGATGGGCAAGGTCCAATGGTGGTTAACTGTATAAAACATACTGCATAGGAATGACTGTATGAAATACAATGTGAATGTAAATGAAGACTAATGTGCAACACAATGTATACGAACTCTGTAAGCAAACCAATATGAAAGGTTTTTTTAAGTATCAATAAAATAGCAGGAGTGACATTCACTTCCTAAACAACATGCCTCTGGAAACTATGAGCATTGGGAAATGATGAGAGTTATAGAAAGGCTTCAGGTCTTTTGTTCACAGGGTGCTTATGAGTAGTGCTCGACTCGACGGCAATCAACAACAACAGTAAATGGTAGTTATTCCTGTTAAAATAACCCAAACCCCTTGTCTATGAGCGTAGCCTGTGAATTCTGTGTGGACACTGTAACCAATTGTGGAATCTAGTGGTGAAGCAAGGGTGCCATGGGAGGGGCAGGTGCTGTGAGAAGGTGGAGTCACACCTGACCTCCACTCCAGGGGTAATGACGCTCATCCATGGGGAAGACAGAAGACGGCTGATTGCAGGGTTCCACACTCCGAGCCACTTCTCATCTACCCAGTCTGACTCATTCCTTGTGGAAGTCCTGCAGTCTGGGTTCACGAGCCGGGACTCCTCTAATGCAAAGCTGTGAGCTGAGACTCTTCATCCCTTCCCTTCGGTCTAAGACTAAATATGAGATGGTGCGTCTCTCTCCTTTCTTCTGGTTCATCCATGAGCTGCACTGCTGTACCAAGGGCTCTCACAGACAGACAGGAGATCCAGACATGTCTTCTGGTTCCCACTGTCTGAGCTCACTCCTCTTTTCTCACTAATCGCTGTAATGGCTGCCTTATTGCGCACACGCTTTGCACATAGCCATTTCTGCACACAACCTCAGGGGAGTCTTTCAACCACTGTTAGAGCGTAGTACCACTGGATGTTTTACCAACAAGGAGGAGGATTCCCATCCCTCGGCTGAGGTCACAGCTAGTAAGCCATGGAAACTGAATTTGATCTTTTTACTTTACAATCAGGAGAACTTGATTCTTCTTGGTCACATCATTAACGTCCTCCATCCTGCTCTCTGGTGATGGTGTGGAATTTAGGGAGGAACAACGGGTTTGACCACAGCAGCCACTACGTAGAAGAGGAAGGATTCCCTGGACCCATCACCCACAAGGAGCAGGAAAAGGAATGTGTAACGAAAGGATACTCACGCTTTGCTAGAACTCTCCTCAGGATGGTCTGCAGCTCAAAGGCAGAGATCTCTGCATCCTGTGAACATAAAACCAGTGCAGTTACCAGCCCCCTGCCCCGTGGGACAGCCGCTGTTATCACTAACAAGTGCCCACTTGCACGCAGATCATGGCCTGAGCCACCCTGCCCAGCCTGCTCATCTGTTAGAGGACTGTGTGCTTGCTCTAGGTGGTTCCCACTGAGTCTTAGAGAATTATGATGACTACACTTTCACTCCACCCATTTGTGCTCTTACTGAGTTCTCTTACTCCATGCCTCACATCTGGCAAGCATCAGTCATCCTCTAACATAAAGACCTCAGGCTTCCAGTAAAGCTCTATGACTGGCTGTCTCCAGGAACTGGCCTGGCCCCATGCTTCAGGATGGCTCCTCGTAGCCAGTTTAGGGACCCTGAATCCGCATATTTGAAAACAAGGAACAAACTTCACTGTTTAAAACTAAGACTCAGTTTCAGTCATCTTTGCATGTCAATTATGTGTAGACATAACTGATATTATTAGAAGTTAGTTCCTATAATGCCTCTTTCTCCTGAGAAAGTGGTAGGGAACGGCAGTCAAATGGTACCTGGTTTGGCACCTGCATGAGTCTTTGGTTAAAACCAAGAGAGACTTGGATGACAGATGATGACACTGGAGAGAGGTAATTATCAATTCCTATATTGAGTAATCTTTTTTCTCTTTTAGTTCTTGGGAAAAGAACTGAATAACTTTGCAGTGGCTACTGTCTAAATTCCACAGCAAGAGGAATGCTGCACCAGAGCTGACTCCCCAGGGGGTCCCGGCCACGTGTGGTCACGGGAGGATGCGGGCGAGGCATCTGAGCTGAAAGTCAAGTTACCTTTGCAATCCCTCTTTGGTTTTGCTCAACGAACTTAAACAGAAGTTTCCTTGAGAGCAGTGGCTATCTTTTTCTTTGCATCACCCAGCATTTCTGGAATTTTCTTGGAATGCTTACCTCCCCTGCCAGCTGAGCAAACAGTTTTCGGAAGCCATCGTCAATATCTTCTTCCATGATGTCAATCTGGAAAGGGAGGTAAAGACACAGGCACAGTGTCTGAGAACAAAGAAGGAGCACAGGCTGTCTGCTCCCCATCCACGTGGGCCTCCCCTCCTGCCCGTCACAGTCACAGTTCCACTTCTAGAACTCGCCCTTAGAGAATTCTCTTGGGTGTACCATCTTTTATTTTTTCTCATTAAACTTTTTTTTTTGGGGGGTGTACCGTCTTAACTTACGGATAGTGCAATGACTTAATAGAATTTGTTTTCATTTCAAACACATGAGAGGGAATACAAACAAGGTAGGAAGGAGTTACACTCTTAATTTCTCACATCCAGTGTCTCTAACCTCTAACCAAATTTACCTCTTCTTATCTTACTCTAATGAGGACGCAGAAGTGGAAAGCCTCACTGGAATGTTCTAGAAGGGTTGAAGCAATAGCTAGTAAACACAGTCCCTCTGAAATGGTTTGGTTTATTAATCACATGACAAGCACAGAGTTTCTGCAACTAAAGAACTCAAACTTCGTCGTTCCTGCTGCCCGCCCTCCAGCGGCTTTCAGAGGCTGTAACCTGCATGGGAGGAGACTGCCCATCTTCTTCCTTGGAGGTGCTGGTGGATTTGAACCACCAGAGACATCTCTCTGGGGTTAGGAGTGCACTTCCATAAGGACTAGGCCAGAGCACCCTCAGCAACTGTCACTTGGGGGTTATCCACTCCTCAGGCCTCGTCAGGCCTGTCACCCTCAGGTCTGCCTCACTGTGGACTCGCTAAGGGGCCTCATTTGAAGGTCCCGAGTTGTCCTCCCAACAGCTCTTCAGAACTCACCAGAGAATGACAACTCTTAGAACTCCAGGGAATCTGAGAAATCACATCTCCAGTTTGCATTTATTGATAAGCAAACTGGAGTCCAGAAAGAGAAATGGCAATAATCTCACTCATCCAGTCCTTCCTACAGCTTGCATGTTCCACTCTCAGCATCCCCTCACACCCTGCAGGAGGCAGTGAACTGGCCCAGGCCCCAACACGGAGGCCACAGCTAATCCAAGAAGCAGACTCTGAACCCCAGGCAAAGGGCTGTCTCCCCAGTTTCTACGCTGTATTCAACCTGAGAAGATTTTTTAAGCTTTTTGGGTTTTCCTCCACTGATCTCTGGGTTGCTCACACCAGAGAAAGTGGAGTTCAGGGAGTTTCAAGTACCTCTTCAATGTTGGCCTCAATTTCATCATCGACAACTCTGGAAGGAAGGAAAAGACATGTTAAGGAGGGGAGGCTGGGGGCACAACGAAACCCTGCAGAGACCCCTGGTGAGATACAAAGCCAAACCTAGCAGGGCTATTATTAGGTGCGTTAGAGGCCTTAAGAAAAGCGGAGGTGCACCCCTATCCTGTGCCATCCTGACCATCTTTACTGTTTGAACTCCTCGTTACAGCCATGGTGTCAACGCCTCTCACGGAGGTACACCACCCCCACCTTTGCTGAGCCTCTACCTTTCCAAGCAGGATTTCCAAGGACTGGCCTCTCCTAACAATAGGCCCAAAGGATGGGAGAGAAAGTTTCACTATCCTTGGTTCCAAAAAGCCTCTCCAAGATAGATCTATTTATTACTGGGGCAACTGGCAGCAACATGAGAGATGGAGAAGAGAATGGGATTGTTAACAATTTCAGCTTGCTGGGATCTACAATCAACACTCTTGGCACCAGCAGTCAGAAAACCAATAGACAAGTTCTATTAGGAAAAATATGCTGTCAAGGACCTTTCCAGAGAGCTGAAGAGCAATGATGTCAGGCTAGTGACTACGGTGTGCCTAATCTAAGCTATGGTCTTTGCAATTACTTGCTATGCATCAGAGAGCTGGACAATGACTAAGGATAACAGAAGAATTGATGCCTTTGAATTGTAGTGCTAGAAAAGAGTACTGAATATACTATGGACTGCTAAGAGAACAAATAGGTTTGTACTTGAGAGGATGAAGTCAAGTTGCTCCTTGGAGGCAAGGGTTTTGAAGCTCTATCTCATATACTTTGGGTATATTGCCAGGAGGGACCAGTTCTTGGAGAGGGACATCATGTTCAGAAAGGAGGAGGGACAGTGCAGGAGAGGAAGACCCTGGATGAGATGGTTACAGTAACTGGGGTAAGGGGGGAGGTGTGTCAGAGACAGTGAGATTGACTCAGTATAGAGCAGGGTTCAGAGCAGTTGTGCTTAGGGTTGCTATGATTTAAAGGCAATTTGAGGGCACATAACAATAATAACAACACGGGATATTCAGTACTTTTCTCAAACACCACAACTCAAAGGCATCAATTCTTCTGCCATCTTTATTCATTCACTGTCTAACTTTCAGCAGGGGTGTTGTTACTGTTGTTAGGTGCCGTTGAGTCGAATATGACCCATAATGACTCTATGAACAACAGATCTAAACTCTGTTTTATCCCGTGCCATCCTCACACCTTCTGACACACTAGAGACCACTGCTGCAGTCACTGAGTCAATCTACCTGGTTGAGGAACTTACTCTCTTTTTCCAACCTTCCACCTTCCCAAGCATGATGTCCCCCCCCCCAAGGAATATCCCTCTTAGCAACATGCCAAAATATGTGAAATTAAGTTTTATCATCTTTGCCTCCAAGGGACACTCTGGTTGCACTTTCTCCAAGGTGTATTTGATTTTCTTTTGGTCATCCCTGGGATATTCAGCACTCTTCTCTAACACCACCGCTCAAAGGTATGAATTCTTCCTTCTGTCATCCTTATTCATTGTCCAGCTCTCACATGCCAGTAAGTCATCGGAAAGACCATGGCCTGAATTAGACCCACCTTACTCCTCAAACTGACATCACTGCTCCTCAATATTCTGGAGAGGTCCCTGACTGCAGACTTTCCCAGTGCAATATGTCTCCTGATTTCCTGACTGCTGGTACCAAGGGTATTGATTATGTATCCAAGTAAGATGAAATCATTGACAACTTCAATCTTTTCTCCATCTATCATATTGTTGCCTATTTGTCCAGTGGTAAGAATTTTTTTTTTTTTTACGTTGAGATGGCAATGTAGTATTCTTTGATCTTCTTCAACAAGTGCTTCAAATCCTCACTTTCTGCAAGCAAGGTGTGTCATCAGCAAAGCACAGGTAAAGGAGCAAGGAATTACATTTGTCCTTAGGTTCTATAGTAATACTCCCCTTAAATAGTAAAAATTAAGCCACGCACACACTCACACATCCAAGACAGTGGTCAGGGCAACACAACTGGGAAGGTTGGAGATTTTGTTTGTTTGTGTGTGTTTGGTTTTTTAAAAATTTTTTAACTTAATTAACTTTATTTACTCTACAAAATCCACTATGTGGTGGCCACAGCTGGAGCCTTAGTCCTCTGCACTGAGACTCGGGTGTGAATCTTTACAAGATGGCCAGTGAATTCCTTGTAGGGAGACTTGGTGAACACAGTCACTTTCCAGAGATCTGGGGTTAAGTAGCTGTAGGTCTTGGAGGTGGCATCAAAGGTGGCCTTGGTGAACTTGCCCAGGGTAGCTGTGCAGCCCCTGGCTAAGGTGTAGCAGTCATCAATTCCAGCCATCATCAACATCTTCTTGGGCACAGGGGCCAAGAATATTCCAGTGCCTCAGGGTGCAGGGATCAGACACACCAACACAGAGCCCAGTCACTTTGCAGGCAACGGTATGAGGCTTGCCAATCTTATTCCCCAAGTAGTCACGCTGTACTTAGACACTGGAGAGCTTGGCCAGGATAATGGCCCCATGGATGGCAGTAGCCACCTCCTTGGTGCACTAGACACGCAAGCCAACATGGCCATTATAGTCTCCAATGGTGACAAAGGCCTTGAACCTGATCCACTGGGCCAGCACGTGCCTACTTCTGCACTGGCATGATTTTCAACACTTCATCCTTGAGGGACATGCCCAGGAAGAAGTCGATTATCTCAGACTCCTTGATGGGCAGTCAGAAGACACAAATCTCCTCCAAGGATTTAATCTTCGTATCTTTGACCTGACGGCCCAGCGTGGTGATGGGAAGCCACTCCTTGTCCTCGGCTTTGCCTCGAGCTCTGCAGCCCCTCCGACGGCCCCATCCACGGCCACAGCCCCAACCCTCAGACTGCTGCCTCCCTGGAAACCGCTGTGGGCTCCTATCCCAGGGCCACCGGGGCTTCTGGGCCCTTCTACTGCACCGGTGTCATCTGCCATTTGGTGTTTTCTCTCGAGATTTTGTTTTTGCTTGCTAGTTTGGTGTACCATCTCCCCATGGAACAGTAGGAGGTGGGTACTCTAGACAACTCACTCAGCTCCTAAGTTCAAGGCACAGTTTTTCACTTCCATCTGGAATACACAACCATAGCAAAACTATCACAGGCAGAATCCCACAGTGCCGCCCACTTCTCCTGAGGCTGGAGAAGGCAGGCAGGGCAGAATTTCACCAGGAGGGCTTACACCTGTGGGTATGAAATCTTGGGCAACATAAGCAGCCCTTGGATGTTACCCACCTGCAGTGCGGATGCCTGGCAAAGAAGAGATAAGGGACCACTTGGTGTGGAGGCCTGGAATCTTGGACAGAGACTGATAGCCTGGGTCAAAGAAATAGTCCCTCTTTATGGGACGTTGGCCTGTTAGTGAGAAGCTCATCTGGAAAGGAGAGCTAAGAGAGGAGTGGATTCCCTGGGGTTATAGTGCAGGGAAGCACACAGCCAGGTTTGACACAGTGCACTATGCACTAGGGTTTATGCGCAGGATCTTGATGTGAGCTGAGGGGGGCTCCTCCCCTCTGGACAAGCTTCCCAAAGGACTTAATAGTGACAGGAAAGCCACAGCTGGGTCACAGTGACATTATTTGGTCTGCAGCTGTCTAGGCCTGCTTCCTCGCAGCGCACTTCAATTTCCTCAAGGAAACGAAATGGCTTCTCTGCCTGCTTTAGCTGGAAACAAGGGTCATTCCTGGCTCCTCTTTCCATCCTGCAGTATGCAGATGGCACAGTTTTGCATGCTTAAAGTGAAAGGGCATTGGAAAGCTTGCTGCGGAAGATCAAAGACTACAGTCTTCATGATGGGTAACATTTCAACATCAAGAATATAAAAATCCTCACTACTGGACTGACAGACAACATCCTAATAGATGGAGAAAAGATTGAAACTGTCAACAATTTCATCTTACTTGGGTCCACAATCAATATCCCTGATACCAGCAGTCAGAGGATCAGGAGATGTTACACTGGGAAAGACTGCTACCTCTCCAAATTACTGAGGAGCAATGATGTCAGTTTGAAGACTAGGGTGAAACCTGATTCAGGTCATGGTTTTTCCAATCATTTGCTGTGCATCTGAGAGCTGGACAGTGAATAAGAATGACAGAAGAAGAACAGATGCCATTGAGCTGTGGTGCTGGAGGAGAATACAGAATGTTCCATGGACTGCCAAAAGAGCAAACAGACATGTCTTGGAAAGGGCGCAGCCAGAGTGCTCCTTTGAGGCAAGAATGGTTTCCTCTCACATACTTCAGACATGTTGCTAGAAGAGGCTATTCCCTGGAGAGAGACCTTGGGAAGGTGAAGAGTCAGGGAAAGAGAGGCACATCCTCAATGAGATGGACTGACAGTGACTGGAACAATAGGTTCCAGTGTGCCACAGATGGTGAGGATAGCACAGGACAGGGCTGCTGTTCATAGTGTCGCTATAAGTCCTACTCAACTGGACAGCATCTAACAACAACAGCAACGACCCTCCCATTGACTCTTCCATCTGTAGTAGCCAGCAGGCTGGGCCCATCAGACATCCTGGACTGGTTCTTTAGATCTGAGCAAGTGGCACAAGGTCAAAGGGGACATACTGTTAGCAGCTTTTGAGTTGCCCCAGGACTTATGGGACACACAGTGGAACAAAAGCTTCCTGGTCCTGGGCCATGGCCATGATGAGTTCTAGAAGCAATCACTGCCATGCTGAGTTTCAGAAGTTCATTGTCAGGATTGTCAGTCTTTGTTTCCTAGTCTGGCAGCTCCACTGAAATCTGTTCAGCACCAGACTGAACATAAAGCTCTCTGACATAAAGGCTCCCAGGATGCAGCTGAGATGCACTCACGGGAGCGGAATCTAGTTCAATGTGGGAAACCTGAATTACATCCCTGAGCCATCACTGTGCCCTCAGTGAGGACAATGTCATGGCTCCTTCCCCTCCCTCTGACTCCAGGCCCGTTTGTGGCCTGGGTTCCTGCCCTTCCACATCTTGCTCCTAGGCCATCTGTCCTAGAGTCCTGGAGATCTTTCCAGGAATTTCCTTGTGTTTCAGTTGCCAAGGTCAGTTCTGCCTCTTGCGGTCAAATGTCAACCTGAGTACATCCATGGCTGAAGCAGCAGTCAGAATGGCAAGATCATTGTCAGCCAGGCCTCAGTCAAGAGGGTAAAGCCATGCTGGCCAGGGCAGGAAATTGTGATGCCAGCCAAAGAGGACTTTCAAATTCTGGGACCCGGAGCACTCAGGACCAACTGGGAGAGGTCTGCAGCTGAGAACACTGAGGCCATCCTGAACACCCTGGGTGGCTCCCCAGGTGGGGACAGCAAGGATTATACCAGGTCTGCTCAGCTTTCTCCAGACAGTGGCCATGCTGTTGTTGCTGAATACCATCGAGTTGGAATGGACTCATAGCTGACCCTCCACTGGCTTTTCAGAGGCAGTAAATCACGTGGGAGGAAATTGTCCATACTTTTCCCATGGAGCAGCTGGTGGATTCAAACCCGAGGCCTTTGGGCTTGCAGGGCAGCTTCCTATCACTAGGCCACCAGATGCCAACCTTTAGTGGCCAGGGGCGCATAAAAAAGACTCCAACTCACTGCCATCATATGGGAACTGCCTCACAGCTGACCCTCCAGGGGTTTTCAGAGGCTGTGAGTCACACTGGAGGAGACTGGCGGCGTTTGTTTCCTCAGAGAAGCTGGTGGCCTCAAGCGGATTGCTTCTGGACTGGCAGCACAGCTCCCTACACACAGGCCATCAGAGCTGATACTGGTCACTCTACAATGGGTAACCATTCTTTTCTAATAAGGAAATCCTTGAGGGCTTTTTTCCCCCTTTGCTTCTCTCATTTGTTGTGTGCTACCAAGGAAGACTGATTCACAGCTGACCCTCCAGGGGGCTTTCAGAGGCTGTAAATCGCACAGGAGGAGCCTTCCTATCTTTCTCTTGCAGAGCAGCTGGTGGATTTGAACCACTTATTTTTGGGTCCTTACTCACCAGACAATCAGAGCTCCCTCTTTTCTGAGTAGAACACTGAAACTCCTTCAGTGGCACACAAAGCCCACCTTGAGTCTTTGAAACAGGCAGGGACTAGAGACAGATAATGTTCAGAGGAGTCAGAGCGATCCCTCCACCTACTGGTAGTCAGCTTTCTTTTCAGAGAAGACCCGGATGCAGAAGTCTCCATCCTTGTTGGGTTCAAACGTGGATGGCACCAGGATGTACTCTCCCGGGGGCAGTTTGAAGCGGTTGAGCACCTCGCGGAGGTTGATGAAGGTGTCTGAGCGCTCCCGGGCTCTGTGCGTCAGGAAGAAGCTCTTGTTGAGGTGGATGTTAGTCTGCCCTGTGAACTAGTGAGTGAAGAGGGAAGTGAGTGGGCAGAGAAAGGGGCTGGCTCTGGACAAACACCACTTCTCAGCCATTGAGATCAAGGGTTGTAGACCCTTTCTGCCTGAGACAACCATGTCCACTGAGGGAGTAATGGCATATGCAACAGGGACACCACTCACTCGGTCTATAAGATGCCCCCCACCTTTCCACAGGATGTTCCCCAGCCCTAATGAAGTTCAAGGAAGTTCTATTCCCCCAGGGTAGAAGGTAGATTCATTTCTACAGGCTGTGTGACACACCGACAGAGCTTCTAATGCAATGCAGGCAGGCAGAGGCGAAATCGACCCAGTTGATCTGCCAGCGAATTTTCAGAGGCATTTAATCACATAGGAGGAGACTGCCCATCCTTCTCCCGCAGAGCAGCTGTGGATTTGACTCATGAGCCCTCGGGTTGGCAGTGCAGAGTCCACAGGCTGCATTATGAAATTCCCAACACAGTGTCACTCCCAGCCCCTGCCCACACTCCTGGACACTTCCTGAGCTGCTCATCCACTGGTAAACCTGAGCCCCAAGGATAGCCTTAGTGAGTGAGACACACCTCCTCTGGGACCTGCCAAGACAAAGAAAAACAATAACCTTAGACCAAGGAAAGTTACATGCAAAGACACCCTCACTGATGTGCCACCCCTTCCCTCAGCAGTATTTACCAATAGTACTTTAGCAATATGAAACCAAATTAACATAATTATTTTTCAAGAAACTCAAAGGATTTCCACTTAAAAAAAAATCTTCCAATAAATGTGGATATGCATTTCCTTACTTACTGTCTCCTGTCAAGTCAAACTGACTCATAGCTGACCCTCCAGGGAATTTTCAGGGGCTATAAATTACATGGGAAAAGAATATCCATCTTTCTGCGAGGCAGCTGGTGGATTCGAACTGCGTAACTCTGCGCAGGTAGTACAACTCCTTACCATTAAGCCACCTTACTAGCGTTCTCAATTTCTAGAGCATAAAGCCAAGGCACAGGAGAGAAGTGACTTGACTCCTTCAGTCAGCCAGTGGCTGGAGCAAAGTCTGCCCCAGGAGAAGACACTCAGAGGACAAAACGAGGCCAAGAGGACAAGTCTGGGGGGGGGCGGTGGGGGGGGCAGTTCTAGGCCTCTGTCTGTGTATCCATTCTGCACTTCTTCAGCACGTTCCCTCTTGGGCCTTAGTTTCCTCATCTGTAAGATGGGACCAACAACTCTTCCTAACTGTGAAGGTCCATTTATAAGCCAAGCTGGAGAGGAGAAGGAGTCTATGTTCAAAAGTTAGCCTGCTTTTCTCTTGGAGTTTATTTTGTTCCTGATATGAAAAGCTCAGAAATGCATGCTCTCTTAGCACATCTGGTTCTTGTTTACTGCTAGCCCAATTCCTTTTCTCAGGTGGATGAGGGAGCGCCTCTCCCCAGCACCTGGTCTGGTATGCATGAGAGTAGGATGCTGGGAAATGGTGCCCTGTTTTAAAGCATCTGCCTATTTCTGTGATGTAAACACTGCCACTATGGCCATTATCCAGCTGCCAGTATGACTACACCGCTTTTGGGGTTGAGAGAATTGCATTTGGAGTTCAGGAGCTACCCATCAAGCCAACACAATCCCATTTCAGCCACTCTCCCACTGCTAAGCCAAGGCCATGAGGTGCCCGTGGACACCTTTGCTGCACAGGTTGGGCAGGGTACAGGGCTATGGATTTGGAGGGTTTTCTAAAGACTTCTTTGAACAGAGCTTGCTTCTCTCAGCTTGGTTCTGAATGGGAGAAGGACCTGAAAATAAGGGTGTCTGCCTCTGTGTGGGGCCCAAGAACCAAGCCATGGAGTCGTGGTAGGAGCAGAAGGATCATTCTGATGCCTTTGAGCTGTGGTGTTGGAGGAGAGGACTGATTATCCTATGGATGGCCGAAAGGACAACTATGCCATGGAGAAAGTGCAGGCCACTTGGAAAGGCCACCATGCTTAGTAAAGTGGAGGGTCAGAAAAAGACAGGAAGACCCTCAACAAGATGGATCGACATGGTTGACAGGAACAACAGGTTCAAGTACACCAGCGACAGTGAGGATGGAACAGGACAGGGCAAGGTGCAGAGCTCTTGGTCACACGGTCACGAGGAGCCGTTGCTGACGTGATGGCACCTAACCACCATCCACCTTCCTGAACAATGACTGCTGGGCTCAGCCAGCTGCACCCACTGGCTTGCTCAGTTCCTGCCCTGACAATTGTCTCTCTTTGGAGATTGGCAGTTAAGCCAGAGAGGGAGAAATAATCAAGGATACAGAGGCCATTCTAAAGAGCATAGCACCCAGGACGCCTGTCATTGAGGTTTGTGTGCTGGGATGCTGACTGGGTTTCCACTGAGCTTCCAGACTAAGGCAATCCATTTCCTAAGGCCAGCCAATAAAACTTCTATGAATGTAGTGGTCTGCTCCACACCTGCCGTGGGGATACCCCAGGGCTGTCCAGTGTTTTGCTTCATCATGTATGGGGTTACCATGAGCTGGGGGGTCAACTTGACAGCAGCCAGCAACCACCTCCAGGAAGCTGGCCGCAGGGGACCCCCCTCAAGGGCCTGGAAACTCCTGATGACAGCCCAGCTTCAGGGAACTTGTGAGCAGGCTCCCTTGGCCAAGCTCTCCCTGGGCTCTGTCCCTGGTTCTATGGGTGGATCCTCACATGGGCTGAGAAAAGCAGGGGTGGGGAGAAGGTGGACGCTCTACCTGGCTGCCCACCTCACAGGTGCCAAAGCCGATGTGTGCCTGCCTGGCTGCCCACCTCATAGATGCCAAAGCCGATGGTGTGCATATCCTCCCCCATCTTCCTCTGCCGCCGCCGGTGCTTCTGGATCAGGCCCACCAGGAAGGTGCAGCCTCGCTCTCCGTCCTCCTCATCCTCATCTTCCTCCTCCAACTTGACAAGGTACTGGGGGTTCATCCAGAAAGTATCTGCAGCCGGAGAGGGCCAAGGTCACTTACTCGGGGAGGAGGAGCCCAGCTCTGAGCGAGTGGAGGTGGCAATGAGCCAATGAAGGAAGGAGGAGCTCTGAGGCGGCGCTGGGGCTTGGGGGTGCATTTCCCAGAGGATGGATGAAGATGAGGTGATGCAGGGCCAGCCAGGGTGGGGCTGGTTGGCAGCACCCCCTTGGTGGGAGATAGAAGGCTGAGGACAGAGGATAATGTGACTGTCTTGTGGGGCCCACAGGAAAGGACTCCCTCACACTCTTTCTTTTCTACTGTACAGAGGCCCCACAGTCTCTTTTTCTTCAGGCCGCCTTGTCTTAGGGACTGCTTGAGTCATTCTGGAGGGTAACCTGGTTACTGTGAAGGGTTGACCTACCTCTGCTCAGCAGGGCTCCCTCAGTGTGCCTTGTTCTCTCTGGAGATGCAGCAAGATGACCTGGCCTGAGGAGGTCTGGGGCTACCTTCACACTAGGCCCTCAGTAAGCCCAGAGGTCAGGAACACCCTATACATGTTTTTGCCTTTTGTTCTGGGTCTTCTGTTCTCTTGGCCCTATCCCTTGCCCACCTTTGGGGGTGTCTCTCCCCTCTCCACTTCCAGGAGGAAGCTGAGCTCCACTCCTATTGATGACCGATTATGCTGTCTTACCTTACCTAAGGGGATGAAATTCTCATTGAGGAAACATCTAACACGGGGGTTGGCAAACTACAGCCCTGAGGACTGATGTCTGTTTCTGTAATAAAAGTTTTATTGGAGCATAGCCACAGAGCATGAGCTTCCACTTCAGGCCACAATGGTGGAGCTGAGTAGTCGCAGCAGAAACGGCTGCTGGGGTTCACATTCCAGCTCACTGAGCACAACTTAAGGAAGCCACTTGGCCTCTCCAGGCCTCAGCTCCCTCATTTTCAATGTGGAGATTATAATAAAGTGCCCACCTCTGAAGTTTGTTGTGTTGTTTTTGTTGTTGTTATGTGCTATCTAGTTGCCTGCAACCCTCCAGTACAAGAGCTCTGAACCCTGCCCTGTCCTGAGCCATCCTCACTGTTGCTGACAGACCTATGGCATTTAGGATAGTTCCTGTGGACAGCTGGCAGTTATCACCGTGGTAAGGTTGTTAGGTTGTTTCTAAGGGAGAGTGTGAGGGGAGCCCTCACTCATCACGGTGAAGAGTTGAGGACTCAACAAGGACTGTCCGGAACACTCCCCACCTTTATCTGAACAGGCACGTTGGGTGAGGCCACCTGGGCACAGGGTGGATGAAGGAGCTCATGCTTTAGTCATGAAGCCCTGCCTCAAAGGCCAGAGGGAATCTGGTGTCTGAAGAGTGCATTCCACAAAGAGCAAGTCTGGGTTTCTGCCTGGGTAAGGAATTGTGCTGCCAGCCCAAAGGAACGAGGCTCAAATCCACCAGCTGCCCGTGGGAAAATCTGCTGGTGAGTCAGCTATGGGTCTGTCCGACTCTACACTCCTCAGCAAAACAAGGAGGCAAATGTGTGCAGGCAGTATCAGGATTGAGAGGACAGAGAAGGGTAAGGGGGAAGGGCATGAAGGGTGCTGAGGAGGAGAACTGCCTCCCACAGGCGCCAGGCAGGGGAGGTTTGCCAGCACTGGTGACAGTGCCAGCCCCCCACGGCCAGGGGCAGCCTTACTCGGATAGTTCCTGCAGCCTCCTGCGGTGGAGCCCCGCCGCCAGTTCCCATCCATCTTGGTGAGCTTCCACTTCTTGTAGGACTCGCTGGTAAGGGTGTCTGGGGTCAGGTTGCAGATCTCCAGGCGGGAATAGTGTCGCAGGAAGTCACCGAAAGACATCCTGGCAAAGGTGGACACAGGCAAGAAGGTCAGAGGAGGATGCACTGGCCAGCTGTCACCTTCCACCAAAGGATGGTTAGGGCAGCCATGAGGCAGCCTGAGGGCCCATGGGCACCAGGCCTTCAATCGGGACACTGAAATTCCAGCCCAGGCTCTGGAAGTTTCTGATGAGGTAACTGGACAAGTTACTCAGCCCTCACTTTCATCTGCAGAAATGGAGGCGGAAGCACACTGCGGTGGTCTGTGAGGACTCACGGGGGATGGCTCTCGGAGTGCCAGACGTGGACACACAAGGGTGTGGGCACACTGCCACTCTCTATGGTGCAGGAGTGAGCCTCCAGAATCTAGACTTTGGTTTCTTAAGGACTCTGAACAACACTTCAGGAATGTGAGTGTCTACGAAGATGCCCCGATGCGACACCCATTTCCTCAGAGTGCCGTGAAATACAATTACAAAAAATGGAGATATTTTTGTGCAGGGTCCTTAAGGGATTCAACGAAAGGAATGAAACGTTTCTAGCACACATCTTCCCCCACCCCTCACCCCAGGATCCCATGCCCCTCTTCCTTGAACGTGATAATCTAGCTTTGGTTCACACTCCTCTTTGAGCCGTTTTTCTAGGGAGAACACTGACTGGAGCATCTTTCCCAGAAACCTCTCCAAGCTTACCAGAATTCTCCATCTTCATGCCGTCTGGTCAGATTCTCCCGAACCTCAGGGTCCACAGTGTTCCAATTTGGGCAGCTGGGAAACAAGGTAACAGGGAGGCGTTGGGAAGTGGTGTGGGGTGCGGTGGAGCACACACACAGCACCTTGGGGAGGAGGGTGAAAGGACACTTTCTCCTGGAAGATAACAGCAAGGAAGAGTCTAGAGATTGAACACAGCCCTCAGAGAGGGAGAGGAAGTGCCTTGGCTGCCCAAACAACACCAGGCCTGACAATGTGTTGGCAGCATGGCTACAGAGCTGGCCCAGAAGCCCTGGTAGGAGTCTCTCTGCCATTGTGCAAATGGTGTGGGAAGCAGGGGAACAGGAACAAGGCAGATAGAAAATTGAACGAGCTCACGGTCATTGCTGTTGAGTAGGAACAGACTCGGAGCTGGCCCTCCAGTGGGTTTTCAGAAGCTGTAATGCGCACAGGAGACTGCTCATCTTTATCTTGTGGAGCAGCTGGTGGATTTAAACTGCATGCCTTTGTGTTGGCAACTCAACTCCTTACCACTAAGCCACCAGAGCTCCCTAGTGAATCAAATAGGTGAAAATAAAACAGGCCTTCTGGTAAACTCCAGAAGGCCACAGAGGAAATTCTCTCTGCGTTTGGGCACAAAACCTCCTAACTATGGGTTAGAACAAGTAGGGGTGGGAAGTGTGATACAATCCCCCTGGCAGGGAGAGTCTGAGTTTGAGAGATTAGCCAAGATCAAGTGAAAGGAACAAGTTTCCCAGGAGCCTGGGCTCTGTCCTGGAAGCCATGTTCTGGCTAGCCAGGCTGACCTGATTCACATGGACCCCACACGTGTCCCAGAAAATTATGCTCTGCAAGCTTTTAATAGCTGCGTTTTCAGAAGGAGATCATCACACCTTTAATGCCAGGCACCTTTAAACCCACTGCCGTTGGATGTGTTCTGACTCCCAGCAACTTCATGGGACAGGGCAGAACTGCCCACAGGGAGTCTGAGGCAGCACACAGCCTCTTATCTCTCATGAAGCAGCTGGTGGCTTCAAACCACTGACCGACTGACCTTGATGCAGCCCAGCACTGAGCCTCTCATGGCACGAGTTCTGTAAGGTAGCTCCAGGGGGACTCAAAACCAACAACCTTGTGGTGAGCAGCAGAGTGTTAGAAGTTTATAGCCCTATGACTCTACGTGTCCTTTGTGTCCCACTGATGCTACCTCAGGCTCTGGGGCCTCATTTCTCAGCACATCCTGACTCTTGCCCTTTTCCAGAGCTGCAGTCAGCCAGACCCAGCCCTGCAGTCTTCCTTGCCAGACCTCCCTCCATGCCCACAAGACTCACTTGTCATTCCACTTCCCGGTCCACTCCACCTCCCCCCAGGGGTTTCGGATGCGGATCAGCTTCTGCAGACTTCCATTGCTTTCCACCTACGGGGTTGGATGAAAGAGAGTTGAGGAGACCTGCAGTGAGTTTCCAGTACAAAGGGCCTCAGGGGCTGGGCTTCAGCTTAAGCCCTGAAGCCCAACTTCAGAACATGAATGAGCATAATGGCTTTCCCATCTCTGCCCTGGGTCTGAGGTGTGAATACGCTTGCTCTAATCTCAGCCTTGATGCCTGACCACCCTGAACACAGTTTGTTGTTGCTGCTATTGCACCTTCTAGTCAGAAACAACTCATAGCTGACCTTCCAGTGATTTTCAGAGGCTATAAATCACACAGGAGAAGACTGTTTTCCTCCTGCGCAGCAGCTGGATTCAAACCTTTTGCTTTTGTGTTGACAGCACAACTCCACTAAAGCCACCAGACTTTTTTCACAGGAAGGCAGGGACACTTTACCACTTATCAAAAGAGGAGTGGTTATACCAGCACTCCCTGCAGCACCAATCATGACAGCGAAAAAGTAGAGGAAATTGAGATGCCAATCAGCTGCTGAATGAACAAACACAATGTGATCTACACAATTCCTCAGCCATAACAAGAAATGAAGTCCTGGTACATGCTCCTCCAAGAACCAACCCGGAAAACATCCTGAACCTTCACACAATGGATTACTACGCAGCACGCTGGAGCAATGATTCTGTAAATTATTATCTAACTTGGGGGGACTGGCTAGCATTATGTTGAACATGGTAGGATCTCAATCACTTAGAACAAATACATGCATTAAAAAATATCAAAGTTTACTGATGATTAGCTGGCCTTGGAGAGAACAGGTGGAGTCACTGCTTAGGGGACACTCTGTTAATTGTTGTTGTTATGCTGTTTAGTTGGAACTGACTCATAGCTGAGCCTCCAGCAGGTTTTCAGAGGCAGAAAATCACACGGGAGATTGCTCATCTTTCTCCCATGGAGCAACTGGTGGATTTGAACCATGTGCTGCTGTTGGGATTGCAGCACAGCTGATTATCACTAAGCCAGCAGAGTTACTGTGCTAGTGGTGGTGGAAAATACAGCAATGTACAGGGGTGAGGGTTGTACATCATGATAAGAGGATTCAATGTCACTGAAGGAGACATGTAAATGTTGAATCGTCAAATATTTGGTCCACGTATTTCTCCCAGAGCAGTTTTTAAAAAGTCAAAACAATGGTGGTAAGAGGCAAATAAAGTATATGAATCTTGATTGAATTTTGGGCTGATGTGTGCTAAAAAGGACATTCTGAGCAATGAGCATGTTTACCTAGAGACTGTAGGTCACTAGACCGCTTTTAGGTGCTGTGGAGTTGGTTTTGACGCACAGGATCCCTGTGACCAACAGAACAGAGTCCTCCTGGTCCTGCCCCATCCGCAAAACCTGCTTTGCTTGAGCTTATGGTACTGAATGCACAAAATTAATTTTCTTGGGTATGTGGAATACATGTGTTGGGTGTTTTTGGTTTTTGTGTGTGTGTGAAACAAAGACATTTTTCATGTATTTCAAGAGATATTTCTTATCCAGGATCCTAAAATTTACAGATCCAAAATTACTCCTGTCAGCTGCTTCGATAAGATTGGTTTTGCTTTTTTCCTTTTTCATCTGAAACTGTGAATCAACTTTTCTTTCCCATTTGAAGAGCCCAAGCCTGCTTGACTTGACTGGAACTCACAGTGACCCCAGAGGATGAAGTCCAGCAGCCCCAAAGGTTACTGAGCTCTGGTAGCCTAATGAGAAGGAGATGCCAAAAGCATACGGTCTGAACCCACCAGCTGCTCTGCGGGAGAAGGATGGGCAAGCTCTGCCTGTGTGATTTACCGTCTTTGAAAACCTGAAGGAGGGTCAGCTATGGATAGACTCTGACTCGATGGCACATTAACAATTGCCTTCCGTGTATTTCTGCTTGGAGGGAAGACCACCACAGTTATTAGAAAAACATCTGCCTCATGATTTAATGAAAAAATATTCTAGGCTAACTCAGTGTACATTTGAAAAGAATTCCTGGCCACTGGCAAGTACTCCACTCCATTAACAGGTTCTCCCACAGTGACTCCATCTGGTTTCTGAGACTATAAATCTTTACTGGCAAACACCACCCATCTTTCCCCCTCAGAGAGCTGGCAGTTTGGTTAGCAGCTTGATATTTTATGCACTCCACCCATGAGCCCCTTACAAACAAGTTGCTGTTGCATACCATCAAGCTGGAGCCAACTCGCAGCTGACCCTCCAGCGGGTGTTCAGAGGCAGTAAGTCATACTGGAGGAATATGCGCATCTTTCTCCCATGAAGCAGCTGGAGGATTTGAACCCCAAGCCTTTGGGTTGACAACACAATTCCTTATCACTAAGCCACTGGAGCTCACTTACAAACAAGTGGAATGCCATTTTTGTTAAGCTACCAGGTCAGTGACCACCTAGTAATCTATTATCAGTTAATCCCAGTGAAAGGATCTAATCAATCATGTTATGATTAGCCAGTGGTTGCTCTTCTATTCTCACCTCTCCTCTTCATGAGCTTCATTTAACTAGCTTACTTCCAAGGAGTTCAGTTTATTTTTTATAATTAGGATATTAGATGGCAGTAAAAAAAAATTCCAACATCAAAAATGGGGGGCATTATGCTGAGTGAAATATCTCAGTTACAAAAGGACACATATTGCATAGGGCCATGTTGTAAAACAGAACTGACCTGAGGGTTAAGGGAAGACAGAAAAGGAGGAGAGGAACAATGTATATTGCATTGAAACAGATGAGGAAGAGAGCTGTTTTAAAGGGACATATGAATGGGTATTCCTGTCATTACAGAAGTCCAGAGTGAAGGCTGCATAGTGGAGTGGACTTGGGGGAAAGTATTATGTAACAATGAAATAAATTTTTGTTTTTGTTTTCGAGGAGAAGAGTGATTGGGGCAGCAAGGGTGGGCAGGAAGAAAAGTGCAATGATGAATGACTGGAAATCCTAAGTTTCTGTAAACTTTCATAAAAATTAATAAAAAAAAAATCCTAAATAAACCCAAAAAATGGGGGGGGGACCCACCTGTGGACATAATAGATGATTTAATGTCTAGTCTGGGTCTTGTAATTAAGAATACATGTGTAACCCATTTAATTATAAAGTGCCCTTGTAGCACAGTTATGTAACCGTAGGGGTCCAAACCTAAAGAACTGAATGAATACCTTTGAGCTGGCAGCTCAATTCCTTACCACTAAGCCGCCAGAGCTCCAACTGGGCAACCAAAAGAGAAGTGCTTCAGATTCACCAGCTACGCCATCCCGTGTGTGGGGTGACACAGAGTGAGTGGGGACAGGGAAGATGGGGTCTCCTCTGTGAAGATTTAGAGCCTAGAAGCCTGGTGAAGGGGCCTAAGAGTTGGAAATCATTTCAAGAAAGTGGATTTTAATCATTACAGTATTAAGAGCTGTAACAACAGCAGCAAGAATTGGTGGGTGCTTCAAACACATGAGCATGCTTGCACAGCCACAACAATCTCATATTCTTTTCCTTCCTTTTCACAGGTGAGAAATGTCAAGAGTAGAGCATTCTGGATGTTTGACCAGGCCACATGGCTGGAGAGCATGGGGCCAGCCGGATTCACATGTGGGCAGAGACAATGGCTTTTCTGAGATCCAATGTGAAGGTATTTTATGGTGTGAGGAATCCTATGGACATGCAAAAGGCTGTCTTACTATTTTTGTTTCTGGATCTTAAGAGCAAGGTTTTTAGGTGTGAAGAAGTCAAATCAGAGCAGGACTTGGGCAGCAGAGGGCGCCATAAGCTTGTCCACAAATCAGAGCAGGACCGGGTAAGCAGAGGTTGCTGTGCAACTGGCCTGGAATCAGAGCGGGACCAGGCCAGCAGAGGGTATCATGCGCCTGGCCAACCTGGCCTGGAAGGGAAAGCCTGTCTGTCTAGATGTCAGGAAAGGGTGTCCAACTTTGAAAAGGTGCTGGACTCCTGTTCAGGCCCCTGCCTGTTCGAGAAGCCCTACCTACATCACAGGATAAATGTGCTTTGGGCCATCTGTGTTGGAGAAGGGACTCCAAGCATCCCTGTCAGGCCTTACCTCCTCTGCCCCAGTGACCGAGTACGCATGTCCTTTCACCAGCTTCTGGAAAGTGATGGCTTCTGAGTCTGCAGCACTGGTGATCTGCGAGGAGATGAATCAGCAAGGCCAGGCAACACCTCCCTTCTGCATCCCACCTCATCCCTCCTCATATATACCTAGGTTTAATCAAGGACACAGTAAGGGGGCAGCTGGTCCTAGTCTGGGGGAAGTAGGCATGAGAAGGCAGCCCATAGAAACCTGTGGGACTCCCACCCTCTGCTGGTATCTTTAGATGGTTCTTGAATGACTCAGAGCTGATCCTCCAGTAGATTTTGGAGGAGACTGTCCATCTGTGTCCTGTGTAGCAGCTGGTGGACTCCATTGCTAGCTGAACTGCTCTTTGCCCACCAGGTGATCAGTGCTTCCTGAAGGAAAGCTCACATGCAACTGTTGGTTATGCCCGCAGGAGCTGCAGTGACCAAGTGGGAAGGGACTCAGCTGCTGCCAACAGGCTGTGGTTCGGATGCCCTAGCTGCTCTGCTGGACAAAGGTGGGCTGTCTCCTCCAGTGCGATGTCTTGCCTCTGAAAGCCTACTAGATGATCAGCTATGAGTCAGTTCTCACATGAGAGGACATGACAACACGGGCATGCTCAGTGGGGTAATCCATCATCCACGTGACAAGGATGCATTCACACAGGGGCACCCAGATGCCATGATAGATGCAGAGTGTACACTCTGCAGGTTCAAGGCACCTCAAAGCCACTTGGCCAATGGGAGGCAGAGATGAGGATAATGGATCTTTGTTCTGCTATGATCTGTAAGAGAAGTTCGAGAGGCCCTACCTACATCTAATAAAGATTTCAGCCTCAAAAGCGAGGATTTCGTCTAGGACCAGGTCTGGGCTTACATCGATGGAGCATCCGAGCAGGGAACCTTTCTGCAGTGCCTTCTGAATGATGGTGAAGAGGTTAGGAGGAGCCTTCCTCAGCTCGTACCACTCGGCGATGCCTCCGGTGAAGTCCTCAAAGCCCTCGGTGGTGGAGCCCCCCGAGAGGGCTTCATAACACCCATTGATCCTGCAAGAGGGGAGGGGATCTGCTGCTTACCTCACTGATCAATTGCCTTTCCAGGGCTGTCCCTGATAGCTTGCTGCTCTGACACTGCCGGTGCCCTTGGCTCTAACTCTCCCTAACTTTGTGCCCAACTCAGACTGCCCGTGAAGGCTGGTCACTGTCTCCACTCACATATCCCTGGAACTTGATATTATATTTTTTTAAATTTTTATTATTTTTTTGAGTGTACCATCAAATCAGATCTGACTGGTATAAGAGGAGATTGTCCCTCTTCCTCCAGCACAGCATCTGGTGGATTCGAACCACTAACATCTGGGATTGCAGTACAGCTTCTTGCCACTAGGCCACCAGAGCTCTCCAGCACTTAATATTTAAAAGCATACACCAGAGTCTTAGAATTGGAAGGATCTAGTGATTATCCAGTCCAGCCTCCCAAACGTGACAAGAAATGTGAGGCTGGCTAATTGACTCTTGGGCATAATTAGCTTAAATAAAACAACAATGCAGTAACAGTGGCCATTTCCACAGGAGGAGGCAATGTGTGGACTTGGCTCCTGGCCACTGAGCTGCAGACCTAGAGCTTCTCCAACCCTACTGCTGAGTCATCCCTCAGGCCCATGCTGTTCAGGCAGGGTGTCGAATCCCAGACCTCCATCCTGGCTGTAAGGGCAAAGACCCACTCTTTGCCTTAGAATTTATCACTTTAACAGAGGGGTGCAGTCAGCAAGGGCAGGCTTGCTGCCCTGGGGTGGTCCTGGGATCCATTCCAGGGGTTACCACGTAGAGCTAAGCTCCCCTCTGTTTTCCTGGCTGTTCTCTTTACAGAAGCAGATCTCTAGGCCTGTCTTACACAGTACCATCGAGTGGTTTTGAACCTCCAACCTTCCCTTCAGTTGTCGGGTGCAAATGAGCCAGGGGCTCTATATTCTGGGTCTGTTTCTATAATTTTCATACTTCCACAGTGGAGAGTTTTGCTCAGTGGCAAACACTCCTTGTTGCCTTTTGTGGTTCAGCCTAGCCAATACCTTACCATGTTCTTGTGCATTTGGTTAAAATGGCATGGTTTTCCAGTTATCAGAGTATGACGAAGGCCTGGCAGGCTTTAATTTTGGAGACCCAAACTGTCCTTTTATAGTAAGACTTTGATTCTCTGTACTGTATTTTTAAAAATAATGGGCATAATGCACAGTTGGATGGTTTGAAGAATGGGAAAAAATCCAATAAAACTAAACAGAACAACTCAAAAAGCTGACCAGAGAAATCCCTTATGACCCACTGATAGGAACACTGACCAAGGAAATCAAAACTGAGACACAAATGGACAACATACGCGTATGTTCACAGCAGTGTTATTCACAACATCAAGAAAACAGAAGCAGCCCTAATGCCTATCAACAAATGGATGGACTGAAAATTTACTGTACATTCACACAGTGGAATACTAAGCAGCACTAAGGAGCACTGACTTTGCAAAATACTATATAACATACAAGAGGCTAGAGAGCATTATGCTGAGTGAACTCACTCAGTCTCATAAGGACAAATATTGCAGAAGACCATTATTGTGAAAGTAAGAGGATAAAGGAGCAATATATGTATAAAAGTCCAAAAGGGAAAGGGCAAGGGAGGCAGAGGGGCAGGAGAAAGGAAAGGGGAAAAAATACCACTGGGAAAGCAGAGGCTAGTAAGGAGAGGCGGCGTGAAGGATTTAAAGAGAAGGAGGTTAATAATAGGCACAGATCAACAGTAAGTAATTTTGGAAAATGCAATTTGTGTGAATGATTTTATAACACACAATATATGAATGATTATAGGCAAGTCAACAACAAGAACAAAGAAATGATACAGCCTGAGTCATATGTGTGAAAAGTCTGGTAGTCCTCAGACACCTCCTGAAGCCCTGAGTCCGGGGCTGGCAGTGTGCGGGGCACGGTGTGGTCACTTACTTGGCATAGGCCTTCTCAAGCAGGGCACTCCAGAACTCACTCCCCTCAGCAGAGTGCACGAACAGCAGCTCCCCGTCCTTGGTAGGCAGCCTGTCGTCCACCACCACCTCCACCCACTCGCCGTACTGCCAGAACTGGGGGACATGGGGAGAGGGGAATGGTGTGGAGGGCTGCAGGGAGAAGGCCCTCCTGCCCGCGTCCCTTGCAGCAGGTCCCACAAGCCCCGTCCACATGAAGATGCTCCAGGCTCCTCAACTCTGCCAAGTCTGTCACCAAGAAACTGAGACCAAGAGGCCAACTGTTTCTGGACACACACCTACTGCTGTAGCATGTGCTGGTCAGTGGCCACCACGTCAGCTGAGGCAGCTAGTGATGCCAGTGGATCTAGCACCTCCCTGAGGTGTCCCCTCAGTTGTGTTGGCCTTCTACCTATGTTCTTGAGGTTTTTAAGTATGAAAGGAGGAGAATGAGGAGCACCTTAACTTTCAGACCTCAGATAATAAACTTGCTCTGAAATGTGAAAATTATTTTCTGAAGACTCTGACTCTGCTTTACTCACTATTTTCAGTGACCAGAGGCTCCCCTTTACCTCCCTGTGGGATACCCTGTTGGATGTGGGGCAGGGAGTCCCTTACTCTCTCTCTGTTCTTTGAAGAACAGCCTAGGACCTAAGAGTCTATAAACATTGGGGGATCAGGGTCTTAGCAAGCCAGCGTTCCTGTTCTACCCCAGGACCCACGGGGAAGCCACTTGGTTACCGACCTGGAAGTGGAAGATGCCAGCGTAGTTCTCCTGGAAGCTCTGGTCCATGGGGACAACACGCGCCAGCACTTCCTCATTCAGGGTGAGAGAAGCGATGGCTGCCAGTAGCCAGCAATCACCTGTGAACACAGCACAAGGAACTCTCCTCAGAGGGTCTCATCAGGTACCAATCCTGTCCCGCCTCTCAGAGCCTGGAGCTCCAGACAACAGAAAACAGATGCTAAAGTTGCAGACAGCTCTCCTCTAAGGGTTAGACAGGGTTTGGGTGACACTGTGAAGGGAAAAAGCTAAGAAGGGAATGATTCTGTTGTCATTGGGAGCACGCAACAGCCAATAGAAAGGCTGAAGGTTTAAGTCCACTTCCAGGTGCCTCAGAAGAAAGGCCTGGCCATCTACCCGTCAAGTCTCAGTCCTTAAAGACCCACAAAGGTCTCTTCTAACCATGTGGGGTCACCATGCATTGACGGTTTGATGGCTGCAACTCCGTGGGAGAATTCACCCTGGAAAGAGAAGGGACTCTGTCCCAGTGGGACTGTGTCCTCAGAACCAAAGCAGTGCCCAGGCCAGCTCCTCAGTGAGGGTCTATGGAGGGAATGGATGGAACTTGTCAACACGGGCTTACGCAGAAGTTCTCTGAGTGAGAGGTAATGTTTGTTAAGTGCTATCAAGTACAACTCAGAGCGACCCTCAGAACGAAAGATCCACCAATGGCCAGCCAGGCCCTAAGGACAGAGGAAGACAGAGGAAAGCACGGTGAGGACAGAGGGAAGGAGAGTGCAGGATGCTGCCCTACAATGCCCAGCAGTCGGCAGTACATCAGCGATGTCTCCAGCTTTAAGATGACAAGCCTGCTGTCGACTTCCCAGTGGAAGAGTTCCAAGCCTCAACTCACGGGAGAGCAGAAACAGGAAATCCGAAAGCTTCTGTTGTCTTTGATGCTGATGGAAATGGCACAATCTATGTCAAAGAACATAAGGTGGCAATGAGGGTCCTGGGCTTTGAGCCCAAGAAAGAAGGAATTAAGAAAATGATAAATGAGATTGATAAGGAAGGAATAGGAAAAATAAGCTTCCGTGATTTCTTGACTGGGATGACTCAGGAAATGTTTGAGAAAGAAATCAAAGAAGAAATCCTGAAAGCTTTCAGACTCTTTATGCGACAGGAGAAAATCTTTCAAAAATCTGAACCACGTGGCTTAGGAGTTGGGCAAGAATCTCACGGAGGAAGAGCTTCAGAAAATGACTAATGAGGCAGATCGAGATGTGGACAAGGAAGTCACCAGTGAGCAAGAGCTCCTGCGGATCATGAAGAGGCGCCTGTACTAGGACAGCCTCCACTCCTCCAAGCGCACTTAACTGAGTCCAGCACCTGCCTTCCTGTGCCGGCCACCTCTCCCACCAACCTCCCACTGCAACATCAGCGCCTACCTCCACTCCCGCTGTAACACTGTAACGTCAGTGCCTACCTCCAACAATCCACTCCGGCTGTGACGTCAGCGCCTACCTCCATCCACTCTGGATGTGACGTCAGTGCCTACCTCCCGCCGGCTGTGTCATCAGTGCCTATCTCCACGCCGGCTATGTCAGTGCCTACCTCCACTCCTGCTGTGACATCAGTGCCTACCTCCACTCAGGCTGTGATGTCAACACCTACCTCCACTCTGTTTTCTCCCTGTGACTATGTTCTCTGATGGTAAATTCTTTGTAAAATGACCAGTGATGACTTCTCCCTCCCCTAAGGCAGAATCAGAGAATATTAAAATGGAGAAAATTAAGAAGAGGATCAAAAAGGTTCCTCTCACGCTCTTCCCTCTTCTCACGCACTCTCACCAATATCCAAACACCACAGACAAGCAACGGACCCCACTCTGGTGTCTTCCTATTGACATCAGACTGCAGGTTTCTCTCAGATAAAACCTGGTGAATCTCATATATCTCCACGTGTGCTTAGTATTCTTGGCTTGGTCTTAAAAAAGGAAAACTTGCTTTCTCTCATATGGGGGGCAGGAGCGAGAAAAAAAGAAAATTTGCTTTCCAAGGATGAAAAAACCCCCAACCCCAATACAACAATAACAAATCTGAACCCTGTCCTGTCCTGTACCATCTTCATCATCTCTGACATACCAAAGCCCACTGCTCTGTCAATCCATCTCTTTTGCTGACCCTCCACCTTTCCAAGCATGTTGTCCCATTACAAAGAATAGAATCTTCACCAACATGCCCCAAGTACATGAGATGAAGTTTCGCCACCCTTGCCTCTAAGGAATGCTCTGGCTGCACCTTCTCAAAGACCTAGTTTTTGGTTCTTTTGGCCGTCCATGGATATTCAGTACTCTTCTCCAACAGCACAACTCAAAGGCATCGATTCTTTTTCTGTCTCCTTCACTGTCCAGCTGACACATGGCTTGGATCAGGTGGGAGTGTATGAATAATGTTTAATAAGATCCCGGGTAAGGAGAGACAGGAAAAGTGATGCCAACAGGGAGTACAACTGTAAAATGTGCCACTCTACACAAGTGGGAGATCTGGGAATCAAAGGAGAGAAAAGCAGGGCTGAATGCCTGCAAGCTGCCATGGGAAGAGGCCCCGGTTACCACAGAGCACAAGGGCTGGGACAGGAGAGGTCTGGGAGGAGGATGAGGAAGCTGATTCCATTCTTAAGGAATGTTCCCTTTCCTATTGTTTCCCATGACAATGGTGGGAAATGGTTTCATTCTTGTCCACCCAATGCTGACAGAATAATTGATCAATCTTGGGCTGTAGGAATTAGGTGTTGTTCTTGTTGTTGTTAAGTACTACCAAGTTGGAACAGATCCCTAGCCGACCCTCTAGTGGGTTTTCAAAGGCAGTAAAATGCAATGGGAAAAGATTACCCATCTTTCCTCTGCAGAGCAGCTGGTGGATTCAAACCATGTGCCTAGAGGTTGGCAGCACAACTCCTTACCACTAAGCCACCAGCACTCCTAGATGTTGGTTGTTGATAGGTGCTGTCAAGTACAACCCATAGTGACCCTGTGAGCAACAGATCTGCACCCTGCCCTCTCCTATGCCACTCTCAACATCTCTGACACAACTGAGCCCCTTGCGGCAGTCACTGTGCCCTCTCCTGTGCCACTCTCAACATCTCTGACACAACCGAGCCCCTTGTGGCAGTCACTGTGCCCTCTCCTGTGCCACTCTCAACATCTCTGACACAACTGAGCCCCTTGCGGCAGTCATCTGGCTGAGGTCTCTCCAATTTCTTCACGATTGGCTTCAGCGGTTGCCTAGTGGGTAGGGAGCTGCACGGCCAATCCAAAGGTGGCTCCTTGCTAATGGTTCAAATCCACCAGTAGCTCCTCAGGAGAAAGAAGGATAATCACCTGTGCCATTTACAGCCTCTAAGAAGCTGCTGGAGGGTCAGCTATGCATCAAGCTAGCAAGGAGAATTTGGGGGTGGGTGTTAAATCTGAATAATAATTATATTAATAAGTCTTCCTTGTATTTGTGTGGCTCTTAAAATGTTCTCTTTGACAATGAATGCACTGCCAATTCTTCTTCAGTGTGTTATTTCTGGTATAGCAGTTCATGATTGCCTCATTTAAAATGACCAATACCAGCCCAGGCAGCTCACAAATGATCAATCTGGATTTATTTTGTTTCAACTTGACAACTTCATTTCGCCTCGATTCATACTTCCACATTCTGATTATGAATAGATGTTTGCAGCTGCTGCCCATTTTGAGCTGTGCCACATCAGCAAATGGAGATCCTTGCAAAGTTCTCCTCCACGCACACCCAGACTCTATTTTGAGCTGATAACAGCCATTCATATTCTGAGCACCTTTCAACCTGAGGGCTTCCTCTCCTCTAGTATATCAAAGAAGATGCTGCTGTTCATTCGGAGGCTTTCACTGGTACATTCGTGTGCCTGGGAAGTAGACTGCCAATCCTCCCTGTGTGTCTTAGTCTAGAAGCTGCTCTGAAGCCTGTCCACCTCGTGGATGACCCTGCTGGTACGTGAAATACCAGTGTCACAGTGTCCAGTTGCATGATGACATGCAAGCCAACACAATATGACAAACAAAATGACTAAACAGCTACTAGTAAAATTCTAACTGCAACAATGGGCTGGAGCATGGTGGTGAAAGTGAGGGCGGCACAGGCCAGGGCAAGGCTTGATCTTTTGTTCACAGGGGCACCAAGACTCATAGCTCACTCAGGGGCACCTGACATTAACCAAAGCTTAAACAGCATGGTCTCACCTGGTGGGCGACACTGGCAATTTCATGGTAAAATTCCTGCCCTCTCTGTGAAAGAACCAAGTTCAGTCCCTAGCCAGGGTACCTCGTACACAGTCACAACCTGCCAATGGAGGCCTTCATGCTGCTAAGATACTGAACAGGTCAGTGAGAGTTCTTGATGAAGAGAGCCCAGTGACCAGTCTGAAAATCCTATGGCTGGCCCAACAGCATGGGTGGTTTCATTCCTCTGTACACAGATGGGGTTGCCACAAGTCAGGATCCAAGTCACTGGAAGCTCCCAGCATCTGTTAGAGATCTCAGCAACATCCTTTTGGGCGTCAGGGAGCTCTGGTGCCCCAGGGAGTTGAAAGCTAGCCCCAGAGCAGTGCTCCTCTGGTAGTTCAACTCCAACACCTGCTCTGTGGGAGATTAACCACCTCTGAAAACCTGGTGGTGGGTCAGCGATGGGTGGGTTCCAACTGATGGTATACAACAACTTTCTCACCCTCTCATTTTAGTTTTAGGCAAATTTCACCCTTCAGTATTACATGGCTGATGGCCATATGGAGCACATGATTTATGGTCCTATTGTTTATTCTATAGGCCAGTTTACGATTTGTTCCATCCATGGTGGCTTCAGTTCCAGGTTACCAGAGTGCTTTAGGTCACAGTCTAGGGCTCCTCCAGTCTCTTTCAAACCAGTACATCTGGTGATTTTTAGGAACTCAGCTTCTATGTTTCCCCTCTCCATTCTAACTGGAGCTTTCTATTGTGCCCCAGGTTAGAGTGGTCAGTAGTAGTAGTAGCTTGGCATCACCTAGTTCTTTTGACCTCAGGCTAGGGGAGACTGTGGTTCAAGTGGGACATTGGTCTTTTGGAATACACATACACACACAC